GGGGGAGCCCTGGGAGCCCCAAGGACTCACTGGTGACGCGTCCAGCAATGAAGGGGTGATGCAGCAGGTCTGGCCAGGACAGACGCTGCCGTGGGTCCTTGGTGAGCAGCCCCTGGAGGAAGTTCTGTGGAGAGAAAAAAGGAAGCTATTGTTCTTCTCTCAACCTATCAACAGACAAACCAAAATTCCTGCACCCATTCTTCTATAAAAATGAGCTGCTCTTGGGCACACCCCTGGCGCCCTTTCCTGAGGCCTCCTCATCCAGGGTGCAATCATGGATAAACTGCTACCTCACATCCAAGTGAGCCCCCAACCCCTGTTCAAACTGCAGAAGTAGCAACAGGAATCTCAAAATCACCAGCTTTGTGAATTAGCAAGAAGATTTGAAAGGAGGGATGTCACTTTCACCCTCATTCTCAGAAGCTAACATCACAGGGGGCCCAAGTTGCTCCCTCACCCTTTCCTTGGAGGAAGGTTTGCTTATGGCTGGGAAAGGACAGAATTTTTTTTTTTTCTGGTTGGAAGCACACTCCTGTGCAACAGTTAAATGGGTGCAGATGTTTTTAAGCACACTCTACCCAAAGAGACTTGTGTAACTTTGGCTCGTGCTGCAGACATCCACATATTTGCCCTAAGGAAGAATGAATGTCTATATGCCTTCCCTGTTCGAGGTTCTTGGTTTAGATTCTTTTCGATCACTACCTAGGCCTCTCTAACTGAACAGGTGGGATAGAAATGCATCCCTTCTTATCTCAGAGAAAACAAAGGGGAAGAGAAATGAGATTTCACTCCAGGGTAAAGTACATTTATATTCCATTAAAGGGGTCATCAACTGTTCTAGGCAAGAAATCCTTTTCCCCTCTCCCTCCATCACCCAGCCTACTGAGGCCTAACTGTCACAAGCAGCTGCTACCCTTCTCTCTAATCACTGAGCCAGCACCCTGTCCCACTGCCCTCCCAGTCTCATGCCACTCAGCTCTGCCCATTCTAATGTCTGAAGACAACTAAATGCAGTGTGGGCAACATCCAGCTATCATGTGGACTTTGAATCTGACAGGACATGGAGTAGAGGACCTATAAAGGGACCAACATTATCTGTAGTATCTTCAAGTTCCCTTTCCCTTGTGACTAACAACAGCCAGACACAGGCAAAGGCTCTCACGGCTGAGTTGGCAGATCTTAGAAACTTCTAGAATAAAAGCTTGCAACCAAAAAACAAGGCTGTTTGGCCCCATGCCTGCCTTCACCCAGTCCCATCTCAGCTCTGGGAAAGGATTCTGTGTCTTTAGTTCAGAAGAAAAAAGGACAAATGTTTCTGCTGTCCAAGTGCTCCCTCAATCTTCACTACCTTGAGGCATGGACTGATTGTGGAGGGCCAGCGCACAGGGTCCTTGAGAATGAGGCTGACCAGCTGAAAGATACTTGTGGTATAGAAAGGAGGAGTGCCCACAGCCAGCTCATACAGGATGCAGCCCACGGACCACAGGTCAGCTGTGTGGTCATACGGTCGCTCCTCCACCAGCTCCGGGGACATGTAGAGTGGCGTGCCTTTGATGGATGTCAGCACCATCGTGTTGGTGCTCATGGCTCGGGCAAACCTGCAAGGGATGGAAACGGAATGTCTAAGCCAGTTCTGGTCACGACTACAAAAGTTGGCTAAAGCACTCAGTTCTTTGCTGGGGTGCCTGCCTAGCCTTTCAGGTGTAAACTTTGCTACTTTATCACAAACAGAATAAAATAGAGTAAAAACAAAAAAAAAATCTAGACTTAGTCACTACTACCTATGATAGTATCAGAGATCCCAGACAGGAGCACTTTTGATTAAGTCCAAAAGACCCAGCAAGAGTCCCAGCATCCAGCTCAGTGAGGCTCAAGGAAGTCATGCAGAGGTCAAGCCTCCCCACGGAACTGCAAGCAGAGCTAGAAGCTCAGAATCCTCACCCAAAGTCACAGAGCTTGACGCCACCCCCCTTGGCCAAGAGGATGTTCTGAGGTTTCATGTCGCGGTGCAGGATGCGGTGGGAGTGCAGATAGTACAGGGCTGACACCAACTGGGCGGCAATGGCCTGGACCTTGGAGTCAAACAGGTGGGAAGAAGAAAGAAAACATCAGAGGAAGAAGCCAGCTCATTAGCCCTAGGACTTTTCCTAATAACACTGCTGTGGGAGCTTTGCTTCCTCCAATTTCTTCACACCAGGCCTCCCTCAGTTCTTGTTCTCCTTGTTCGTTCTTCCATTTGCTCATTTATTCATTTGTTCATAGAAGATGTGCCAAATCTCATGTCTCAGCTAGAAGGTCACGAGCAAATTAATTTGAGGCACTCAGAGTCATAACCCATAAACTGATGCAAAAGACTCCATCTTCCAGGAGTCTTATGAGGATTCAATGAGTATGACAAGTAAAGCTTACAATGCTGCTTGGCATTTACTAAGCATTCAATACACACGAGCTGTAATTTGTAAGACAAAATCCCTTTTCTCAAAAGTAGTAAAACAAATAAGATAAACAAACTGAATGAGACAATTCTCAGAAATCGCCATGAGTGCTGAGAAGGACAGAGTACTACGACAAGCAGTCCTGAGACCAGCCTATTTGGGCCAGTACAGACACACCCCATGCTGAATATGGTCAAGGGAGTGTGTTCAACCAAGTCCCACTGCTAACCACCACGTCCTGCCTGACCACACTCTCTTGGCCCAGACCATCATGGTGGCTCTTTTTCCCTAAAGATACCTAATAACAACAACATTACTCATGGCCAACTGCTTAAAACATTTTGCATGGATTAACTCAATAATCATCACAAAGGCTTCATAAGGCAGGTGTTATCAACATCTGCATTTTAAGCACTAAAGAATTAAGGTGGTTTACTCAAGAGGTCTCAGCTATTAAGGGACAGAAACCAGCTTTACACCTGGATATTTTGGCTCCAATTTTCACATACTTTCCTTCCCTATCACATCACCTCTACAGACACCTGGCTTCCCCTGATTCTCTTGGGAATCTTCAAGAGGGAGACTCCTGGGGTTCCTAGCTTGCTCTTTTGAGTTCTTCATCATCTAGACAGGATGGGAGGGGGCCAGAAGCAATGTACCTGGTAGGAAATGTACCTGGTCTTCAGGAAGCTTTCCGTCATCTTCCAGGATCTGAAAGAGCTCTCCCTCAGCATAGTCTGTCACCACCACAACCTGCGAGGAAGAAACCCTGGCTGCAGAGTCAGACATTAGGGGACTGTGACATTCCTAGGAACCACCAGGCTCAGGGAGAGGTGACCTGAAACCATCCAAGCACACCTCTTTGTCTGTCTCAAAGCTGTCGAGTAGATGCACAATGTTGGGATGCCGCAGGCCACGCATAATTTCAATCTCTCGTTGCAGATTCTTTAGCTCCTTCTCTGAGCGGCCCAATTTGGGGATGAACTTCAGGGCCACCACCTGTGAAATGTAAAGTGACCAGTTAGGGTCTAGCCACACTATGGAGAAGGGCTGGAAATTCAACCTTCACTTCAGAGTTCCAGAATCCAGACTTCAGACTGAGCAACTCTCATTGCACCTGTCGCTGTCCTACCTCCACCACCCATGGATGGTAGCCTGGCCTTACCCAGGACTCCCCAAGCCTTGTGCTTGCTAAAAAGATGCCTGTCATGGATTCTGGGAGAGGTATTCCTCTCCAACCAAAAGACTCAAGATTAGATTGAGTGGAAAAGGAAGAATCAAGTAATAGAGAGGAAAATACAGAGATCAGGTGGCTTCTCTCTTCCTCTATAGTATCAACACGACTAAAAATAGCATTTATTTGTTTCCTAAGTGCCAGGCACTGTCCTAAGTAATTTAATCCTCAACATCCATCAGTTAGCCCCTCTTATCCCTCTTCTTTAGATGAGGAGCTTAAGACACATAATGAGCTACTTTGTTCACAGTTTTAACGCCAAAAAGTGCTGGATTTTGCACCCAAGCAATTCACCTTCAAGGCACATACTCCCTAACAAGTGTGAAGGAGACAGTATCATAAAAACACAGGTTGGTATAAACACAACCCTCCTAGCCCCGGTCTTCCACTGGAGAAAGTCCTCTTTGTTCCTCACCTGAGCACTGTATTTTTTCCGACCCTTGTACACTCTCCCAAAAGAGCCTTCTCCAATCATCTCCAGCACGTGGTACTTCTCCATGACCAGGAGTGCAGAATCCCTCGAAGGAGGAAATTACAGATGGTGCTGCAGAGCTATGGATCCAGAGCCAGCTCGGGACATTTGGGAGCCTGGGCTTGGGAGAAGAGTCAATATTAGACACCTCTTCCTTTGTCCCAATAACCCGGGTCTCAAAAGCATGGTAAGGTGGGGTGGACAACAGGCATGAGCTCTTGGAGCAACCAGGGCGTCTCCTTGGAATCCCCAGCCTCCTCCTGCCAACCTCCACAGCCACCGGCCCACCCAACATCGCTTCTCCTCTCTCCTTACAACACCCAGCCTAGCCCAGGACTCATCCCTGCTCAAAATGGACTCGCCCCCAACCCCGCCCCTTTCAGGGGCTCCCAGTTCCTGCCACTCTCAACTTCCTCTGCATCAGAGCCCAGACCCTCACCCACGCGCTTCGCTGGCCGGAGGGGGGGAGACCTTGTCTCACCCCCCATCCCCCGAAGCTCCTCAGGCCGAGGGGTGTCGGCCCTGGCCTTCAAGCCCCGTCCCTTTTCTGGCTGCCTGCCTACTTCGCCTAACAAAGTTTTTCTCCACACCCCACCCCACCCCTATTTCTGACCTCTTTAGGGTCCCGTTCTCACCAATTTTATGCTGTAGAACTGATCAGAAGTTCAGACGACAAAGGCGCTCCGAGGTGGCGGGAGGGATGGTGGGCCGTCCCAAGGCACTTCTTGGGACACTTCCGAACTGTCCTCTTGGCCATTAGACCCCACGAAGGACCCGGAGTCTGCGGTTGCTTAGAAACAGCCCTGGCCGGCGTCCTCCCGCCCCCTTAGTTTTTCCGCCTCCGACTTCCCCAAGGGTATTTCCGGTTCCGGCTGCCGGCCGGAGACGACATGGCGGCGTCAGCTTCGACAGCTGCTGGAGAAGAGGATTGGTAACTCTGGGGGCATGAGCTTCGGTTGGTCCCCTGGCTCTGGGCTGGGGGACTCGCGGCGGCCGCAGACCCTCCGTGGGGGCGGGCGTGCGGGGTGGAACAAGGGATGAGGCGGGGAGCGAAGACGCTGACATCTTGTTTTAAGGTTGCTTCGGGACTTGGGAGCCGCAGGGTGGAGGGGCGCCGGCCCGGCCAGTTTGAGCCGCTTGCTCTCCGATTCGATACCCGCTCCCATACCCTCACCCCGTCCCATCCTATCCTCTTGCATGTGCTCGGGGCCCCTAGGGACGCCTGTTCATGAGGCCTCCCCGCCTCCCTGCCCCTGTGCTCTCTCCGGGTTCTGTCCTCCTTCGCCCCTGGGATCAGCCCGTGACAGGCAACACTCTGCCACCTTCACCAGCCCCAGCCGCTCTCGTGAGGACTATTGTGTGGATAAAGCTTTAGACCACGCAAAACACCCTTCTAGTTCTTAGCAAGAAGCCAGGACCTATAAAGACCCTGGAATTTGGAAACGGGATGACTGTGAGGGTTCGGTGCACCTAGAAGCTTGGGATGCTAACGAGGCCACTTAGTGTGTGTGAGTCAGTGTCCTCGGCTGCATGTGTGTCTCGGTGTGTGTGTGTGTGTGTGTGTGTGTGTGTGTGTGTGTGTGTTGAAGTGGGTGTGGCATCTGCATCCTAGAATGGTGGAGACGGTCAGGATGAATTTGTAAGCTGCTCAGCCTCCTTTACTGTGATCACTGTGACATGTGGAGAACCTGTAGAGACAAGCCCAGAAGTGAAGTGCTTTGGCAGAAGGTACAGAGCTTGACTGGGGAGCCAAGTCTGACTCCAGAGCTTATTATAGCCCTAGAATAATCGGCAATAGTCCTTCCCCCCTTTTTATTATTATTATTGTTACCACCCTTAACTATCAGGCCATCCTGTATGTCACATCCAGGACTCAAATCATAGCTACGCGGGCAAAGGATTGAAGGGCCCCGAACTGAGGCTATACCCCATTAGTCTTACATTGGTCCAGCGCTGACCTTCCTGAAGACCGCCTGAAATTAGTGAGGGAACTGCTACAGAGGCACCTTGAGATTAGAGCAGATTCTGTGGTCTGAGACTCGCTATCTAGTGTTTTGAAGTTTCTGCCTGAGATATTAAAAAAAAAAAAAAGAACCACTGATATTGATTCGTGTTAGAGCAGCATGATGACAAGGAACCAATGAAAGAAAGCAAAGTGCCTCTGTGTACAGTCAGCCCTCCATATCCACAGGGCCTGCATCCAGGGATTCACGCAACTGCCAATCACAAATACTGGGGCAAACTGCATCTGTAGCAAACACACACAGACCTTTTCTTGTTGCTATTTCCTAAACAATATAGTTGGACAACTGTTTGCCTATCATTTACATTGTAATGTAGTCTGCATAGGCTAGATTAAAAGTATATGGGATGGGGCCTGGCACAGTAGCATAGTGGTTAGTCCTCGCCTTACACGCACCAGGATCCCATATGGGCACCAATTCTTTTTTTTTTTTTTTTTTTTTTTTTGGAAAGGCAGATGTACAGAGAGAAGAGAGAGGAAGATCTTCTCCCTATGTGGCTACAATGGCCAGGAACCAGGAGCCAGGAGCTCTTCCAGATCTCCCATGCAGGTGCAGGGTCCCAAGGCTTTGGGCCATACTCCATTGTTCTCCCAGGCTACAAGCAGGGAGCTGTATGGAAAGCGGAGCTGTTGGGATTAGAACTGGTGACCATATGGGATCCTGGCACGTTTAAGGCAAGGACCTTAACCATTACGCTGTCACGCTGGGCCCAGGCACCGATTCTAATCATGGTGGCCCTGCTTCCCATCCAGCTCCCTGCTTGTGGCCTGGGAAAGCAGTTGGGGACGGCCCAAAGCCTTGGGACCCTGCACCCGTGTGGGAGACCTGAAAGAAGCTCCTAGCTCCTGCCTCCAGATTGGCTCAGCTCCAGCCATTGCGGCCACTTGGGGAGTGAATCATCAGACGAAAGATCTTCTTCTCTGTCTCTCCTCTCTGTAGATCTGCCTTTCCAATAAAAATAAATACTCTTTTAAAAGTATATGGGAGGATGTACACAGGTTGTATGTAAATACAAGGGACTTGAGCATCTCTGGATTTGGTATAGGTGGAGGCTCATGGAAGCAATCTCCCACAGATGCTATGGGGTGCTGTCACCTGGGCAGTGCTGTGGATACCAACCAATCGTGTTCAGTGTCATTACAATAGCTGTCCCAGTGTTTACAAGTGTGTGTCCTCTAATTGAGCACAGGACCATGGCCCTTCCCCTGGACAGGCTGAACTAGATTCACCAGCCTGCCAGGGTCATAAATACATCCAGGGTACTCTATTAATAGCATCCTTCTCACTTCCCTTTGAAAGGTGAAGAGTTACGCAAATAGGATAAGCATAGACTAATTTTTTCTTTTAAAAAATTGTTTTAATTTGAAAGGCAGATTTACAGAGAGAGACACAGAGAAAGGTCTTCATTCACTAGTTCATTCTCCAAATGGCTGTAACAACCGGAGCTGAACCATTCTGAAGCCAGGAGCCTGGAGCTCCCTCTGGGTCTCCCACGTGGGTGCAGGATTCTAAGGACTTGGGCCGTCCTCCACTGCTTTCCCAGGCCACAAGCAGAATAGGAAGTGACCCCCGTATGGGATGCTGCCTTTGTGCTGCCAGTTAAGCCATTGTGCTGGGCACCCATAGCATTGCTTCTGTGGCCCAGACCCTCTAAGGTATTTGACATAAGCACATTACCTTTAATCCTTACAGTCTCCGTTGCAGTAGGTAGTGTTAGCTGCATGTGGTAGATGGTTAACAGGCTGAGTAGAGGTTAACTACAGATGACATGTCTGGTAAGCAGTTAGGACCTGTGACTCTAAGGCTGATGGCTCTCCTCCTCCACCACAGCCAGAGCACTCCCTCGGCTTGTGTTCAGGGTGATGTGTTGTTGAGAAGGCATAATGGGAACGGTGTTGGCAGTGCTTTGGCATCTGGATCCATCAGTTTAGGGAAAGATAGGAGCAGTGATGGGAAGCTTGATGCCGGGATAAATGGCTGCCTTTTCTGGATCACAGAGATAACCGCCAGTCAGGAACTCTGATTCAGCCTGAAGTTTGAACCTTAGTTTATCATTTCACTTCTGGAAATCTGTTTCCTCAGCCATTGGCGGAAGTGATGTGTAAGCTGCTGATTCCTGTGCTTCCTTACCAGGCCACTTTGGCAACTAAAAGAAGCAGATTTCCCTCAGGTTTAAGGAGTATCACAAGAGAGTATTGTGGGCCTTAGGCAGGAAGGCTGTGATGGTGAGTCAGTCTCTCTCCCGGTCTCTCCAGGGTCCTGCCCTCTGAAGTCGAAGTGTTAGAATCAATCTATCTGGATGAACTACAAGTAATTAAAGGAAGCAGCAGGTACGTATTCAACTAGGGGCAGGCAGGAGGACTCAGTAATGAGTAGATTCTGCACAGATGAGCCCCAATTCATAGGTGTGGTGTGGTTTCTCCTGTGCAGAAAAAGGTTTTTCCTTTAATCTTATGAAAAGCAAGTGTGCCCGGTGCTTAGTGCCTCAGGCCACTTTCCTGTCTCCCAGCTGTCTTCCCAAGTCCTTAGCCCCTACTGCATCACCCTCTGGGGTCTCCACTTGCTCCGCCCCTGCAGATCTTCACCGTGGGAGATCCTTATCACGCTGCACCCCGCCACCGCAGAGGACCAGGGCTCACAGTATGTCTGCTTCACACTGGTGCTACAGGTCCCAGCACAGGTGAGGCTCTGCCGGGAGGGAGCTGGGAATCCCTGGGGTGGACCCCTTTTGCCACAGCACGCCACAACGTGTCACTCTCCTCATCAGTATCCCTATGAAGTGCCACAGATCTCCATTCGTAACCCCCGAGGGCTCTCGGATGAACAGATCCACAAGTAAGTTGGGCTGGTCAGAGTAGGGAAACCTTGAGCTACAGCTCTGCCTGGAGAGGGAGGCAGGCTTAATGTTGGGTTTGCCCTCTTCTTCCAGGATCTCCCAGGCATTGGGCCACGTGGCCAAGGCTGGGCTAGGCACGGCTATGCTTTATGAGCTCATTGAGGTAAGAGGTATGCTAGCCTGGAAAAATTAGTTTTCCCATCAAGCTAGACTAGTTTTCTCTCAAGGGAAAACACGGGCCTAGAATTCTTTTTTTTTTTTCTTTTTTTTTAATATCTGTTTATTTTTTATGAGAAAGGCAGATTAGATTTACAGAGAGAGACAGAAAGGTCTCCCATTTGCTGGTTCACTCCCCAAAAGGCCACAATGGCTGGAGCTGAGCCAATTGAAGCCAGGAGCCTCGTCTGGGTCTCCCACCATGGGTACAGGGTCCCAAGGCTTTGGGCTATCCTCTTCTGCTTTCCCAGCCCACACACAGAGAGCTGGACAGGAAGTGGAGCAGCCAGAGCATGAACTGGTGCCCTTATGGGATCCTGGCACCTGCAAGGCGAGGATTTAGCCATTGAGTCATCACGTTGGGCCCAAGAATCTTAAAATATATTTGGAGTCATTCATTTAGTCCTTGTTAGGTGAGGCTTACATTAATCCAGAAGGATAGAACTCTTTAAATTTCAAACAAAGTTATTCCATGTCAGTTCAGTAACTTAGGTTACTTCATCCAGCCTCTTGACAGAAAAATTCCTTTCCTCTTTAACTGCCATTTTATTTCTGTTTTAGTACATTTCTTGTTCTGTTGGCACTGGCAACTGAAAGTGGCAAAATATAGGGCTCTTGCCATGGTGAGGGCAGTCTTAAGCCATAAATGAACATGTGAAGACTAGCCTGGCATTGGGACTGACTAGAGAAAGTCATGACTGCTTTCCTCTTGACTTTATATCCTGACTGTGGAGTAACCCAATTAAAGTGACCCAGGGGTACTCACAGAGAAATTTTGTTTACAATTTTAAACATGCAAGTTTGGCTTTGTTTTCTTCTACTTAGAATTTTTAAGAGAAAGGACCAAAAATAGAATGCAGGCGGGTACTTGGAGTCAGAGCAAATAGGCATTGTAGACCAACTGTGGCACTCCTAGGTCAGGCCTCCACAAGGCAGCTTTGAACTTGGCATAATTCTAGAGTATTAGCTATACCAGTGTGTACTTCACAAACTTACTTGATGCTTTTGGAATTTCCATCCATTGGATGGGCTATGCCTTGACTTTGTCTCAGTGCCAACCCCAGAACAAAGCTGGGTTCCAAAGGGGTTAATAAGGCCTCTCAGGAGACGAGCTTTAAGCAAATTTTTTTTCTCTCCAAGATGTATTTTCATCTCCAGGATACAATAAGAGGGACTTAAAGAGAGGGGAACCAATTAAGTTGGATTTTGAAAGCCAGGAAATTCAAATCTCAGGGGAGGAGGTGGGACATGGATAAGGGCTGATTCCAAGTTAGAGCATCTTCGAGACGGACCCACTTGAAGACAAGGAAACAAAGTGGCTTGCTGGGAGCCAAGTGTAGCCAGTGGTTCCTGGATGATAGATAGGCTGGGCTCCCAGTTTCTGCCTGCACCTCCCTGTCTGAAAAGTGTTTTCTCTCCTGCCAGAAAGGGAAGGACATTCTCACAGATAACAACATCCCGCATGGCCAGTGCGTCATCTGCCTCTATGGTTTCCAGGTGGGTCTCTCAGTTGGAAGCCGAGGGCAGATGAGGGTCCAAGAGGTAGAGCTCAGAGGCACAGGGCCCTTTCCGCTCCTCCCTGCTGCAGGAGAAGGAGGCCTTCACCAAGACAGCCTGTTACCACTACTTCCACTGCCACTGCCTCGCCCGCTACATCCAGCACATGGAACAAGAGCTGAAGACGCAAGGCCAGGAGCAGGAACGGCAGCATGCTGTGGCCAAGCAGGTGTGCCTCCCTGGCCCCTGTGCACCTGGGGATTTGCAGTCTTTCCCACTCCTCCCCTGCAGTAGCTCTTCCCTTAAGACATCCTAGCCACCTTTGAGATGAATGAAATTTACCTCTGCCCCAAAGCCACATCCATAAAACTTGAAGTTGTGAGGAGTTCCCAGGCCTTCAGTTAGGATTCTCCCGCTCTGTCCCCACTCCCTGCTGAACACGTTTTCCTTACCCTTCAGACTCAGCCCTGTGCAGACAAGACTGGCTCGTGGCTTGGCGCCCAGGGTGCCGAGCCATGAAGCAGGCCTGTGATTCCTCTTCTTTCAGAAGGCAGTCGGTGTGCAGTGTCCGGTGTGCAGAGAGCCCCTTGTGTATGACCTTGCCACTCTTCAAGCAGCTCCTGAGCCCCAACAGCCCATGGTAAGGGGGTTTCCTTCTACTGAAAGCCAGGCATAAGGGCATTCGCTCAAGAGGGGAAAATGGCTTCTCAGTTAAATGGGGTTTCTGGAACTGAACTTGACTGTGTGCAAAGCCATAGCTCCTACTGGGAGCCTGGATGTGTGAGGCCAAAACCAAGAACACTGCGTGGGTCGCCTGAGGCAGCTGGGAACAAGAGGGGTTGCAGTGTGCTGCCCCCTGCTCGCTCTCCTCCCTCCAGGAGTTGTACCAGCCCAGTACAGAGAGCTTACGGCAGCAGGAAGAGCTCAAACGCCTCTATCAGAGGCAGCAGGAGCGGGGTGGCATCATTGACCTTGAGGCCGAGCGGAACCGCTACTTCATCAGCCTTCAGCAGGTGAGAGAGGTCGGCCACTTGTCCTCCAGGCAGTGCCACCTTTCCTACAAATGCTGCTGTGCTGCAGCTCTCGGGTGGGCAGTGTCCTCTCCAGGGGGGGTCACCAGCCAATGGCAGGTGGCTGCTGGTGGCAGGAACAGCCTGCAGTCCCTACTTCCAGCACCTGCCTCTCACTGCTTCTCTCCAGCCTCCTGCCCCCTTGGAACCAGAGTCAGCTGAAGAAGTCTCTGGAGGATCCCACCCAACTGGTGCCCTAGCCACAGAACAGCCTGCCTCACCAGCTGCCCCGCCCCTCTTGCCAGTGGCCACACAGTATGTGTGTGAGAAGATTCCAGGGGCCAAGCCAAACCAGAGGTTGGGTGAGACGCAGAAAGCCATGCTAGATGTTTCCCGGCCCAGTCGAGGCCCCTGGCGACAGCAGGATCAGAAACACCTGAAGGGAGGGGAGTGCTGCGTCCCCAAAGGTACCAAAGACACACAGGAACTATCACTTCCTGAAGGGTCCCTCAAGGAACCCATGGACCTAAAGCCAGAACCCCATAGCCAAGGGGTTCAAGGTCCTCCCCAGGAGAAGGGGCCTGGCAGCTGGCAGGGTGCTACGTCCCGCAGGACTCGGGACTGTGCCCGCTGTGAGCGCTCCAAAGGCCGGACACCAAGCTCTTCCTACCCCCGCCCACCGCGGGGCCGAGGCGCACACCGCACTGGTTCTCGAAGGGAACCCGTGAGCCTGGAATCTGAGCATGGTTCCTAGCAGTACTGGAAGGGGACAGGGACTTGGGGACGGGAGGGACACAATAAAGAGATTGGGCCTTGTTTGGCTTTCTTTGCTCAGCAGTGCCTAGCCTATGGAATATGACTCTTCCACGTTCTTAGCAAGCCTGGGCTGTGGCAAGTGGCTCCTAACTTAGTTCTAAAGTCTGTCCTGCCAAGAGTTTCTGGGTAGAGAGTTCAACATTCCACCACCTAGAACAGCAGGTTTTAGGGAATACCCACTAGTGAGGTTGATACGTCACTAGTGATCAACACATGGGAAGAGACCACTCACTGTTACATGTGTATTTAATCTGAATGCCCTTGGATTATGGAGTGCGTGCCCATATGAACCTGAGTCTCCGTCATTTGTCCGTGCAGCGGCCTGATTGAGTCCTGTAGGCATCTCTGACTACAGCTGCTGCTTTCACAGGAAACAATCCAACGAAGGAGCAGGGGAGGTCACAGATCAGAGGGAGCATGGCATGTGTTTATTGAGATCCTGGGGGCTGCACACAGCCCAGGCCATCACCTCCTCAGAGTCTCAGTACTGTGGAGCGCCCCTGTAGGATCATTTTTATACAGCATGAAGTAACCCTGCACCTGCGCAGGACTGATCTGGTTTGTCACTTTGAGGACACGTTCTGCAAAGGTCTCAGCCAAGGAAGGTGCCTGCCCTGGATAGAACCTCTGGAACATCTGGGTCAGCTGCCAGTGAGAACAGTAGCCCACGTACTCCTTCAGGTCCACTCGTCCAGGGCGGATAAGCGCAGGATCCAGTCTAAGAGAAGGCAGGGGAAGCAGGGTCACAGGCTATTCCATCTCCTGCCCTCAAAGAATGGTCTACTTGTTGACCCTCCCGAGGAACTAAAGGTAGAGTCATGCCCCCCAGGCTCAGTGTCCCCTGCCCCCGTTACCTGTCCATGTGATTGGTGGTCATGAACACAATACGGGCTTCCGTGGAAGCAACACCGTCCAGGGCATTGAGAAGTCCACTGAAGGTGAGGCGGCCAAGGCCCTGGTACTTGACTGGGTCTGGAGGAAGGCAGAGATCAAGAAACAAGTGATTGTAGCCCTGCTCAGTGTCAGCATTGCTTCTTCTCCCTGCACATTCCCCCACAGAGCTAGACCTCCAGGAGGGGGTCCCCGTGGCAGGCATCCTCATCCTCCAGCGGCCCTCTCTGGGCGTCCACCTTGTCCAACTAAACCGCAGTTCCTTTGGTACCTCACGCAGTCTAGTTCCTGCCCTGCAGCGGCCTGCACTTACTCTCTGCAGCCAGGTCTCGACTGAGGAAGGCAGCGTCCACATCCTCCAGGAGCACCAGGCTCTGCTGCGGGGCCACACTCAGCAGGTAATTGAGCCGGTCATCTGAGAGGCTAGGGTCAGTGAGACTCAACAGGCAGATGCTGTACTCCAGCTCCCCAGCCAGGGCTGTGCTGCGGGGAAGGGGGATGACAGGAGGGGTGGGTCACCCTAGAACTCTCCCTGGGACCCAAGGCTCTTGGCACACAGTCCTAGGAGAAGCGTCTCCTTAGAGACCTAACTCGTCCACCACCCACCATGGTGATCTATGTCTTGGGCTGATTTTGAAAGATTATTTTACTTGAAAGAGTAACAGGCAAAGACAGAATGATTCCCCCATCCAATGGCTCACTCCCCAAGTGGCTACAATGGCAAAAGCTGAGCTGATTCCAAGCTGGGAGTCAGGAGCTTTTCCTCCAGGTCTTCCATGTGGGTGCAGGGACCCAAGGCTCTAAGCTAACACCCATAAGCACAGCAGGTCATATCTGTGCCAGCCCCTTATATCTCAAGTTTATCCTGGCCCCTGGACACCAGGTTCATTGCCCTCCTTACCCCTCCCACCTTCAGCCCAGCTTTTCCCCAAAAAGGCAAAGGTGTGCAGAGTATAGAGAAAATTGACTACTCACATAAAACTGCTCTTTCCACAACCAGGAGGGCCATGAAGCAGGTAACCGCGTCTATAGGGAATGCCTAGGGATACAGCCATGAGGGTCAGGACCTAAAATGCAGTCATCCCCTGCCCTAGATGTCCAGTCATTCCCAGCCCTGACCCCAGCCTTGCTGTGGGACAACCTCAACCCATGCAAACAATGCTGCTTCCCGCTTCATCTGAGGATCGAAGTACAGTTTTATATTATCCCATTGGGCAAGAGCCCAGCCACTTCTCACCTCTGTCAATGTACCACTGGGGGTTATCAATGAATTCCCGCACGTCTTTCACAATTCGGTCTGCCAGACCTTGTTGGAGAACCACAGAATTCAATGGCCGGCGGCGGCGCGGGTAGCCAAAGGCACGCCATTCGGAGCCCACAGCTGTGTACATGACTGTCTTGCCTTCCTCCTGTTGCAGGGCAAGTTCTCGGGCTGGGAGTGAAGAGACAAGGCAAAGCCACGAATTCCCTTTAAGACTGTAGATTGTTCAGTTAGAGCTATGGAAAGCTGCCAAAATGCATTCAGACCTTACTCTCTTATTAAACCTTACTCTCATCTCCAAATTGCCCCAGCTGATGTCAAACGTCCCCACCCATGCGATCTCCTTATGAAGGTCACCTGTACCATCCCACACCTTCCTCCAGGATGTTGAAGAAAACCTTGCGGTCAGTGCCCAGGGCTGTGAAGGTGACAGACTCCCATGGAGTCCCCGTCTGCAGGTCTATCATCTGCATCTCCCGGCTCCTTTCCACGCGGATCCATTTCCCCTGATACCTGAAGGAAAAACAGATGTGAGCAAGTGGGCCAAACCCCGCTCTCCAACGACCCTCCTCCAAAACCAGCACCCTTACCAGATGAAATGGTTTCCAGGGCTGGGGATGAATTCGAATTTGGTGGAGATGCGTCCACTCTCGTGCTGGAGGTACGACGTCTCGACACTGAGGTGCTGGGTGCGGGTACTGTGACGGGTGAGCCAGCTGAGCAGCCAGCCATAGCTCCTGTCTCGGGCAGGGACTTCCAGTGTGATCATGTAATGGCGTCGGAACGCCACCAGGCCCAGCTGAGCACCCTTCCGGGCCAGGGCCAGGGCTGTGCCCACGCCCACCAGCCCAAACCCAGCCCCAAAGTAGGGATTGTCCTTCAGGGCCAGGATGAAGTCCGAGAGTGGCATCTTGAAAGAGCAACAGTGAACCTTACGGGCCTTGAGGCATGATCAAAACCTAGAGGAGGAAGGGGAGAGGAGTGGGAGCAGAGCAGGACAGAGCACAAGATGAGGCAGAAGCTGACACTGGAGTCCCCAGCCACCCAAAGGGAAGCAGGAAGTATGGATCGGCACTACAGAGGATTTCAACACTCCCTTTCCTGGCTGAAATTCCAAAGCCACTCTCTCAATGTGCCCTCGACATCCTTCTGGCTAGAAGATCTTGCCTGGTTCCAGCTGGTTTAGAAAGGGGTTCCACCGGCAGGGCTCTGCCACTGACCCACAGCAATCCCTTGTAATCAAAGGTCATGTTCAAATACGGTCCCTCTTAAAGTGCTCACTTTCCAAATGTCCGGGTTAACCTTTTATCATCTCCCACCTAAACTGTCCCTTTTAAAATGAAAGTTCTTGAGACAATCTCAAGGCACCAACAAATTACCGGCACAGGTGTCCGCTCCTACTGCATCACCTCCAATGGTTGACTGCATTGGGAAACTCCTCAGCCTGTATCTGAGACTATCTACGACACCTGGCACCCATCTACCTTTTACGATTTAGCTCTTAATACTGAAGGGTCAACACGCATGCAGTCCAACTCCCACCGCCTTGTCCCTGCAGTTCTCTCGCCTCGGAATGCCCATCCTCTAGTCCTTCCACTCTCTGCAACTGAAATTCAGTCCATCTGCTAATACCTCCCGGAACCTTTCAACCACCACCCGTTTCCCGAGTAAGGCGTAACCGGTTCCCACTGTACACAGTAAGATCCCAAGGCACACACACAGGCCAACTTCTATGTAGCGTCTCTCTCCACCGATCCTTTTGCCCTCTCCCTAGGGCGCAACCTGGCCCACGCCCGACGTGCAGGGGGTGAGCTGAGGGCAAGGACCTCGGCCGAGGGCCTAGAGCGGAATCCACAAAGCCCCAAAATACCTATGCATGCAAGGCCACAGACAACGCTCTCCCTGCTCCCGGTCCTTGCCAGACACCCAAAAGTCTCCTTCCAGAACGCCCGCACACCCGAGCAGCGTGGTTTGGAATAATTCTTCACTCCGCCCCCTTACCGCCGGGACTCTCTAGGCTTCCGTCTCGATGGTAATGCCCCACTGTGCCGGAGGGCGGCGCGGCCCCGCCCCCTCGAGTGCGTTCAAGCACTTCCCGCCACACCCACCAAGCTCGTGGCACTCTGCCCCACAACTCTCCATGATTTGCCAGGGGCTTGCGGGTTGGGGGACCATAGAGACAACCATAGAGTCCCCAGCCAGCCGCCAAGGGGGAGACAGAGAGGTGCCTCTACAGGTTCCATGTCCCAGAGGCTGCTGGGCCGGAGGCGGTCATGCCAAGGGCGCCCGGGGAGGCCGCCTCAGCCGCGGTCCACCTTAGAGGTGAGGCTCCCGCCGGCCATAGGCCGGCAAGTGAGTGAGAGGCTGCCGGGTGGGAGCTGAGAAGGAGTGTGCGTGTGGACAAGCCCAGAGATGGGCGTAGGCCTGGGCGGTGGGACCCCAGGAGGAGGTGCTGGGAGCAGCGGCGTCACGGCTTGGACCCCTGTCTGGGTACCTGCTGCAGCCTCCGTTTCTCCGATTCGTCCGTGTTCGTCCCGGCGCTCCACCCCAAGCCTTGCAGGTTACAAGCCGCCTCCGACGTCCGCCGGCTCCTGCGATCAAGCTCCAGCCCGGCGGTGAGGACGCTGTCACCGCCTCCACTCCACAGATAGGAAGGCGGAGGCCCAGAGGAGCGAGGCGGAGGGTTCGGTCCCCGGCCACGCGGTGAGTCAACCGAGGACAGGTGACAGCCGGAGGGCGGGGCGGGAGGCTCGCGTAGTCCGGACCTTCCCTCTATCTAATTTGACCTCTCTGTCCCTCAGGGCCCGGCCCGAAAGCTCCCGCCCACCTCACCCCAGGTGAAGGTTCTCCAAGGAAGGGGGCGCCGCCTCCTCCTTGGCCCCCACCTGAAGCCGTCCCTGGAGGGCGGCCCCGCCCGGAGCCTCCGTGGCTGGGTGTGGGGAGAGTTGCCTTGACCTCGCGGTTGGGTGATGCCTGCCCTTGAGCGGCTGCGTGTGACTGCTGTCATTTCTAACTATTGCCTTACATCCTTTTGACCATTCAGTGTCGAATTTAGCGGCGGAATGTGCCCTTGAATTGCCATTCATTTCCCTGTTGAGGCTGTAGGACAGTAATAAGTGAAATTTGGGAAGTTGCGTTGCTTTAAACTGCAAGGAACCCCTTGATTTGATCATCTTGGTACAAGGTCACCAGTTTTCCTTGGATGGAGCCATGTGTCTGTTTTTTTTTTCTTTGTTGAGATTTATTATTTTTATTAGAAAGGCAGATTTGCAAAGAGAAGGAGACAGACAAAAATATGTTCATCTGGCCCGGCGCAATAGCATAGTGGCTAAAGTCTTCATCTGAACGTGCTGGGATCCCATATGGGCACTGGTTCTAATCCCGGCAGCTCCACTTCCTATCCAGGTTCCTTCTTGTAGCCTGGGAAAGCATGGCAGCCCAAAGCCTTGAGACCCTGCACCTGCATGGGAGTCTTGGAGGAGGTTCCTGGCTCCTGGCTCCAAATCGGCGCAGCACCAGCCATTGCACTCACTTGGGGAGTGAATCATCGGAGGGATGATCTTCCTCTCTGTCTCTCCTCCTCTCTGTATATCTGACTTTGCAATAAAAAAAATCTTAAAAAATAAAAATAAAGAACAATATTATTTTTAAACAAATATATTAATCTGCTGGTTCACTCCCTTAGTTGCTGCAACAGCCAGTGATGAGCCAATTCAGAGCCAGGAGCTGCTTCTGTTCAAAGCCAGAAGCCAGGAGCTTCTTCTGGGTCTCCCACGTGGGTGCAGGGTCCCAAGGCTTTGAACCATCCTTTACTGTTTTCCCAGGCCACAAGCAGAGAGGTGGATTAGAAGTGGAGCAGCCAGGATACAAACCAACTCCCACATGGGATCCTGGAGCATGCAAAGCGAGTTTAGCCACTGAGCCATTTTTATTTATTTTTATTGGAAAGGCAGATTTACAAAGAGGAGAGACAGAGATAAAGATCTCTCATCCACTGGCTCACTCCCCAAATGACCTCAGTGACTAGAGTTGAGCAGATCTGAAACCAGCAGCTTTTTCCAAGTTTCCCATGTCGGTGCAGGGTCCCAAGGCTTTGAGCCATCCTCTATGCTTTCCCAGGCGATAAGCAGGGAGCAAGATGAGAAGTGGAGTAACTGGGACACAAACCGGTGCCCATATGGTGTTTGAAGGGAGAGGGTTTAGCCATTAAGCCGTTGTCTGGGGTTCCTGTGTTGTTTTTGTTTGTTTTGAAAGATTTATTCTTTTTTTTAAGATTTATTTATTTTTATAGAGAGATAAACAGAGATATATATGCAGATATACAGAGAGGAAGATCTGTCCGATGGTTCACTCCCCAAGTGACCACAATGGCTGGAACCGAGTCAATCTGAAGCCAAGAGCTCTTCTGGGTCTCCCACGCGGGTACAGGGTCCCAAGGCTTTGGGCCGTGCTCAACTGCTTTTCCAGGCCACAAGCAGGGAGCTGGATGGGAAGCGTGGCTGTCGGGATTAGAACCGGCACCCATTTGGGATCCTGCGGGCTCAGGGCAAGGACTTTAACCGCTATGCTATCACACCAAACCAGATTCATTCATTTTTTGTTGTTGTTGTTGGAAAATCAATTATATAGAGGAGAGACAGAGAGGAAGACCTGTCCGCCAATCTACTCTCCCAAGCGGCCCCAACAGCTGGAGCTGAGCCTGATGCTTCTTCTGAGTCTCCCACACAGGCGCAGGGTCTCAAGGTCTTGGGCTGCCCTCGACCACCTTCCCTGGCCACAAGCAGGGAGTTGGATGGGAAGCAGAGCCACCAGGGTTAGAACCAGTGCCCATATGGGATCCCAGTGTATTCAAGGCGAGGGCTTTAAGCACTAGGTTACCCCGTCAGGCCTCTATCGCAACAGCTTCTTAAAGGATAATTAAGAGTTGATTAGACAGAGATTGAGAAGGCAAGAGAGAGGCAGAAGGGTGTGTATGTTGAAGAGAATGTGGCCGGGATGACTCGGTGGTACATCAGGCTAACCCTGTGCCTACGACGCTGACATCACTGAGTTCTAGTCTGGGCTGCTCCACTTCCGTTCCAGTTTTCTGCTTATGGTCTGGGAAAGCAGCAGAAGGTGGCTCAAGGCCTTGAGATCCCTGCACCTACATGGGTGACCCAGAAGAAGCTATTGGCTTCCAGCCTCAGCTTAGCTCAACTCAGCTCTGGCTGTTGTGGCTGGTGTAAACCAGATGGAAGATCTCTCTCTGTAACTCTAACAAGTAAAAATAAAGAGAATGTGCTCGGCAGAGAATGGCGGGTCATCTGGCATTGAGGTCTGTTGAGAGGAACTGTGGAAGTTGAGTTGCGGAGGCCAGCAGGAGCCAGATGGTGGAGGAAGGAGCCATACCAGTGCCGAGGAGGAGACCATCAGCTCTTAGGAGAGAAAGGGCCTTGAGATTCTATGGCCATGTCTGATCTTTTTGTGCATTAGAAACTGAGAGCCAGATTGCTTTATGATCTGACCAATGTCATGTCACTAGGAAAGACATGAACCTGCAGGAGGCAACATCAGCCTCCACTTGGTTCTCCTGCCTCCCGTAAGGAAGTGCCTCCTGAGTCCTGGCTCCTCTGCTGCCCCGCCAGCTTCCTGCTAACACACCTGGAAGGCAGCAGCTGAGTGATTGAGGACTTGGGCTCTTACCTTCAGCCTGGCTCAACCCTGGCTTTTGTGGCTAGTTGAGAAGAGAACTAGAGGACAGAAAATTAGTTTTTCTGTGTCACTCTGTCTTTCAAATAAATAAGTTTAAAAACAAATCAATAAATAACCTGCCGTTTTTAATATGTTGGCCAAAACTTGTTGGATCTCTCCTTGGTATCAATCCTAATATCATTTTCATACTTTTGGTTTCACACATTGTCATAAAAAGAGAGGACCCTATTTAGGCTGATGGGGTGTGGCCTACTGCCAGGCAAGGAAAGGCCCAGATGGATGGGCACTGTGCCCAGTACTCATACCTCTTGGGAAGAAAAAGTTAACCATGTGTTTGGTTTTTTTTTTTTTCCTTAATGTTTTGTCAGCATCTAGGCAGCCACAGCCTACACACTGCAGATGATGTCTGATTCTGCATTGACCTCTCTGCCAGACAGTACCCCCAGGGAGATGGATGAGCTGTGCCCTGAACTATTGCTGATCCCCCCACCTCTTCCTGGCCGTGGAATCCTGGAGGGACCCTCCCCGAGCTCCTTTCCTTCTGGGGAGCCTGTGCCTTTGCCTGCTGACCCAGGCTGTCTACTGGTAGAGGCCACCACCACGGACGAGAACGCCGGGAACATGGAGATCATTGTGGAAGCAGTCGCGGGAACCCTGTCCCCAGGTGCACCTGAAGGGAACCCAGGTACTGACAGCTGCTAGCAGGCCCGTGGGACATGCGGCCCCAAGGCTTGGTGTGGGCTATTTTTTTTTTCATTTTTTTTATTATATATTTGACAATCTTTACATAGTTAACCAGGGTTAAAAGGTTCAAGGGCTATAGGAAAGTGGATAAGACTATTATTTCCATATTGTTTCCTTCATGTATCTGAGGTAAAGGGGGATATTGAGGGAGAAGCCCCACCCAGTTTCCCACCCACCCCAGGTCCTGGATGTGGGGCATACTCTGAGGGTCTTGCTCAAGTGGTTTTGATAGTTCCCCAGTTATGAATCGCTGCCAATCTCGCCACTCCAAGCCCTATGAGATCGTCAAAGAATCCACTGATTGACATAGTCCATCACAAAGTCTCCATTTGCCCAGTATTTTGCTGCCAACATGCAGCTAAGGTGGTTGATTGACTTCTTCTGTCTTCTGTCTTTTGTTGGTTAGGGTTCCAGTCCAGCATTTCGATTGGGGAGATCCCCAAAGAAACTTTGTCTGAGGTGTTCCCAGTCCAGATTCTTGTATGTGCTAGCAAGTACAGGGCCCAGCACAGTCCATCGCCCCGATCAGCTGATAGTTGCAATTGCTGGGTTGATCCTGCTTTCAGCCCTGACTTCCACTGGAACCAATGGGTGTTGCAGTTCAGCCTGGCTCCGCCCAGCACACACTCAGCCCTCGCATAAACCAGTGGGCGCTGCAGCCTAGTTGGAGCGACCTACAATAACCCCCACCAGACCCACCCCCTACCCTGGTTTCCAGTATGTGTAGTAGACTAGTCCAGTCTGTCCCACATCCCTTTCGGCTCTCATACATGTCAGTGGGTATTAAAGTTTAGTTCTATCTAACCAGCTCCACTATGCTGCCCACACAGATGCTGTTGCGTGTCTGTCTAGCCACCCCAGCCCCTGTCCTACTGTTCATGCCCTCCTGTGGGAGTGGTAACCCAAGAGGGAGGAGACCACTATTTCCCCCCCAAGCCTCTCCCACTCCTGGATTATGCACTCTCCAGGTGGTTCTGTGGTTTGACTTGACAGAATTAGCCCCCAGTGCCAGCTTCTGCTAGCTTATGCTGTGGCTAAGCCCAAACAACCCTCACCCACTCTAATTATAGTTTGCACCAGTAGGAACAATCAGTCCAGCCTGGCTTTTCCCTGATCTAGTCCACATGAGGCGCACAGGTGTTGTAGCCCTGCCTAGTCTGGTCTGCCCCTATCCCAGCCCACGCTCTCCGGTGGGAATAGCTGTCTGGCAAGGGAACTCCCCTTTATTCCCCCTGCCGGCTCCACCCCCTCCCTTCCTGGTTCTCATGTGTGCTGTTGGGCGCTGTAGTCACATCTGGTACAGGTAACCTCACCTTGGCATTCCGTATTGTGAACTTGTTTTTGTTGCGATCAAACCAGGCTCAATCCACACTCTGTTCTGGTGCTTGGATTCGCCAGTGGATGACATGAACTGATTCAGTCTGGTCTGCCCCTGACCCAGGCCAAATGTATGCCAGTGGGAAACTTTCCATGGCCTATTCTGGGCTGTTTCCTATCATGTTTCTTGCGCTTACCTGCCAGGTCTGTGTCCTGCCAGAGGAGTTGTCCAAGCCCCTCCATCAGAACCCCTCCCAATGCCAGATTTCACACATACCAGTGGGTCCATGAGCCAGACCTACTCAGTCCACCTCCTGTCCTAGCAGGAACAGTAGCTTTTCCTGACTGGCCTTCAAGCCAGTCTGGTTCTTGCTGTTGGATGTTTCAGCTCAGCCACGGGTCGTCCATACCCACATATAGCTCATACGTGGCTCAATAGGGGTTGAGACATAGCCTAATCTGCCCCACGTCTGCCCTGGTCCTCCAGAACACCAGAAGGTGTTGGAGTCTGGCCTGGCTTGGTGTGTCCAATCCCAGTCCACACTTGTGCCAAGGGAAACTACAACTGTATCCTGATCAGAACGCAGCCCCCATTCCAGCCCATGAGCCCCTAGGTGGGAACCTCAACCAGCTAGGGTGTCCCCTTAGCTCCCCAACTGGGCCTGTTCCCAGCCATAGATCACATGCATGCCAGTGGTTGCTCAGACTCAGCTTGGCACAGCCCCTCACCTGTCCCGACCTCTGCCGTAGACACTGTGGTTTAGTGTCCCTGGCTCACACAGACCAGTAGGTGCAAGAGCCTAGCTCGGCATGACCTGTGCTCCATCCTGGTTTCTAGTTTTGCTTGTGGACTAAGGTTTGCTCATTCCCGCCTGATCCACCCCGTTCCATTACCAATTGACACATTAGCCAGCTGTTGGAGCTACTTTGCCCAGCTTGTCTGACTCCAAGTCTGGACCACATGTTCACCAGCAGAAGCTATGACTCACTAGGTGAGTTTCCCAAGTTCCTCCACTTGATCCACCACCAGACCCAGTTCTCATACATGCCATTGGGTTTTAGGCCAGTGCCCAGCGCAGTCTGGCCTTCCATTTGGCCTTGTATGAGCTGGTGAATGCTGCAGCCCAGCTCACCCCACACCCTATTCAGGATGCACATTCTGGTGCTGCTGCCTTGACCAGTCCAGACTGTTGTTGGTTCCTTTATCTGTGATTGACGGCAGGCTCCTTGGTCACACCTAGCTTAGTCCATCACCACCCCAACTCTTGAGCTAATCTGTGGGACTAGTATTTCCACAGGGTTTGGCCCATACATCCCTCACAGAATCTACCCCCAGATACGATTTTCAAGTGCTAGCTATTGTCATGGCCCTGCCTAATGTGACCTGTCTCCTGATCTATCATCATGTCAGGTAATAGGATATCCTGCTGTACAAGCCCCGACCCTTAGCTTTTGCATGAACTGGTGTTCGGTGCTCAGCATTATTCAGTGATTACAAGTTCGTCAAAGGAAGAGTTACTGTCATTGAAAATCTTTAGGATTGATTCACATCCCAAAAGCACAGTGGGTTCAACCTGGAACTACCTAAGCAGTGATTCAAAGAACCAAAACCCCAGAGCTCCTAGCCAGGCAACCAGGTGGATTCTGGCGCCAAATGGGGACAGCTCACAACGTGCACGCAGTGGCTGGAGTCAGGGATCTGAGCATGAAGATGCCCTGGCCTGAGACCCCTCAGCAGCCAGCAGGCTGTCGGAAGTTCCAGTGGTCTGGGATATTTTTGACCCTCCAGTGTTAGTATGCTGAGGATGCCAGGATCGCTCTATTTTTATACTCTGAGATGTGGTCATTGGTTTTGCAGCTGATGTGTATTGATGGAAAGTTGCCCACAGTGGCACATGGCTGACTGTGCTCCTACAAGCACTGCCTTTTGTCTCCTCCATGGGGATCCCAAGGGCAGGCCTTGGTGGCACCTGCCCAATTCTGCCCTGTTCTTCCTCTTGATTCATCAGAAATTCTTTCCTTCATATCAAACCTGCCACCCAGGAGCTGCAGCCAAGAATCAGGCCCAAGTCCCAGCCTGTCACTGTCACCCTCAGCTTGGCACAGCTTGGCACAGCTTCCAGGGCTGCCCTGGGGACTCCCTGCCTTGGTTCCTTGTGTGTGTCACACACTTCATTCACCCAAGGCGTGCTGAGGTCAAGCATTGAATGCTTGTGTTTATCTAGAAGAAAGATCTCCTCTTTATTCTTCCTTTCTCTACAACCTCTGATTTTCATGAAATGTTCTTGTTTTTTAACTACGGTCCTTCAGGTGCAGCTGTCACCATTCTTCCTGGCACTGTAGCATATGGACAGAAAACTGGGCAAGAGCTGCTAATTTGACTAGATCATATTTCTAAACTTTTGTGTGGTATGTGTGTGGGGGGGGAACCCTGGGTAAAAGCTTTTGTAATGTATAAGACAAGGCCAATATCTTTAAAATCTAAAGTTCTACAGTAAGAAAAAAAGACAGTAGATACAAAAGCAAAGTGGTCGCTTTGAGGTTGGGAAGTTGTCTTCATGTTATTCGTTGAAGAGGAATTAAAAAGTGAATAACCATCAGGAAGGATGCTTAACCTCACTAACACAAAAATAAATCCCATTCCAACCATTGCTGTCTCTCAACTTTGGCAAAAAAAAAAAAAAAATAGTTTTGAGACTCCCCAGGACCGGCGAGTGTGTGCGGAAACACTGTCCTCACAGCTTACTCTCCTGAAGATCAGGTGCACTGGATGGCAAGTTCAACGGTGTGCATTCTCTAGGACTTTGTCTGACAGACACATGCGCACACGAGTATAGGAGCAAGAACCTGTCACAGTTTATTTGTTATGGTTGGAAACATCTTAGATGTCCATGATTAAGGGCAGGAGTTCATATTGCTGTATCTATGCTCTGAAATACCAAGCATGAGCTGAACCAAAAAGGAAGGGGTGGAGCTTTAATGTACTCATAGATTTAAAAGAAATGTCTCTGATTTGTAATAACTGGGACGGTAGATTTCATAGAACCACAACCAAAGTTCTGACACCAGTATGTCACAGACCACAGTGTGTGAGAGTGGGGAGTTGTTATTTTTGTTTTAAGACTTTTTTTGTTTTTTTTTTGAAAGTCAGAATTACAAAAGAAGGAGAGACAGGGAGGAACATCTGTCTGCTGGTTCATTCCCCAAGTGTCTGGAGCTGAGCCATCCCAAAGCCAGGAGCCAGGAGCTTCTTCCGGGTCTCCCATGTGAACGTAGGGTCCCAAGGCTTTGGGCCATCCTCTATTGCTTTCCCAGGCCACAAGCCAGGAACTGGAAGGGAAGTGGAGCAGCTGGATACAAACCAGTACCCATATGGGATTCCGACACGTCCAAGGCGAGGAGGACTTTAGCTACTAGGCCGCTGCACTGGGCCCAGGAGTTTCTATTCTTTGTGACCCTTAGCATCATCTGAATTGTTACATTGGGCTTTTTCTAAACAAATAAGAAAACAAGAAAAGGATGAGCAGAATTAAAAACCTGTGTTTGAGTTGTGGCTCTGCTATTGAGACACATTGGGCAGTGGCATTAACCTTGTAGAATCCCAGTCCTTTCTCATTAGGTCTGTCGGAGGACCAGATGGGGACATTTCCTAAGTCGTCCTTCACCAAGGTCCTGCCAGCAATTCCTGCGGAGGTCATTTTGCACTTTCCAAAGAGAGTGCTCTTCATTGATGCACTCCTATGCCTTGGAAAAGTTCTTTCCAGAATTTAAAAGTTAGCATTTTGTAGTGTAGGGGCTCTGCCTCATTTGTCATTTTTGATCTTTTGGGAATTTCAGGTTTTTTATTTGGACAACATATATTACCTTTGCTTAATGCTCTCCATTTTTCTTTTTCATTTCATTTAGTCACAATGTATTATTGAGTACCTGTCTTGTGGCAGGGGCCATGCTAGATACCAAACACCCAAAAGCAGGTTGCCAATTACACTATCCCAGTGCAGAGCCAGTGCAGAGTCAGACTCAAGTCCATTTGCACCTCACCAATAAAAACAGTCTCCCCCATATTTCGCCCAGTAACCGTGGACCTCTTCCTATCTGATTCTGTGCCTTTCTCTGTCGGTCCTCTGCCTGCGAGAGTCCTGATAAAGATGTGGAGGTGTACTGTGAGTGCTGGAACAGAGCTTCACATAGCCTGGTCTGCTGGCTCTGCACCAGTGCTCTAAGACCCACATTCAGCCCAGGCAGGGCCTCTCTAGCCCCCCATGCTCTCTAGAACTGCCCACCAGCAATCTAACCCCCCTGGGGGCCTCTGTAGGGCCACAGCCCCCGAGAAAGCCCCCTGCCATGCCCTGTATGCAAACAGGAATTTGCTCAACCCCCCACCCTGAAGCACCATGTCAAGCTTCACTGGGTCCCACCTGGCACCTTCTCATGCCCAGAGGCCGGCTGCATATTCTCTGCCAAAGATCGCAAGGTGCAGCAGCACTTGAGGCAGAGCTATGGAGCAGTTCTGTGTCCTGTTCTTTCCAGGGCTGCCCCTGCTTTTCGGGAGCCAGCAGGCCATGGAGCTGCACTGGCAGGCCCACTGCCCTTTCCACTGCAGCCACTGCAGCTTCCTGGGCTGCAGCATCAGCTGAGCCATGGGGCAGGGTCGTGGGGAGAACAGTCTTGTGCTGCTGCTCAGGTCTTGTCCATCCTCGGAGCTGCTGTCAGGTAGGAGGCTGGCGCTGGAGGCCCACATAGCCCCCTCCTGCCATGTGATCACAGTCGGCCTTCCACAAGAGGTGTTTACTCTCAGTGCTGTGGAATTGAAGATAATGGCTCCGGAGAACAGGACCACCGGGAGGCATGGAAAGGTACCTAGAAACCAGTCAAGATAAGTGGGAAAAGGAGGGAATCTTTGTGACAGTGAGTGACTTTTGCCTCAGGCTACATGTGGCCAAATTCCTTGCTTTCTTTTTTTAAAGAGTATGGAGTTTACAGGTGAACTTGACATCTTGATCTTTTTTTTAACAAGTTATTTCTTTATTTGAAAGGCAGAGTTACAGACACAGGGAGAGACAGATCTTCCATTCTCTGGTTTATTCCCCCAGTAGCCAAAATGGCCAAGGTTAGGCTAGGCTGAAGACTTGAGCCACACTTTCGGACCCTGCTTTACTGATTCTTAACTCTTTGTTCTCAGGAAGGATGGATGGATAGGTGGGTGGTAGATTAATAGATACATAGATAGTAGATGGAAGAGGTCCCGGCATGCTAGCTTAGCAGCCAAAGTCTTCGCCCTGCACATGCCAGAATCCCATATGAATGCCAGTTCATATCCTGACTGCTTCACTTCCTCTCCGGCTCCTTTCCTGTGGCCTGGGAAAGCAGTACAGGTCGGCCCAAAGCCTTGGGATCCTGCACCCATGTGGGAGACCTGGAAGAAACTCCTGGGCCCTGACTTCGGATCGGCTCAGCTCTAACCATTGCAGCCACGTGGGGATTGAACCAGTGGATGGAAGATCTTTCTGTCTCTCCTTCTGTCTGTAAATCTGATTTTCCAATAAGAATAAGTGAAATCTTTAGAAGAAGAAGAAAGGGGAAGAAAGGAAAGGTGTAAAACATGAGAAAATAGATGCCAGGAGAGCGCGGATCCTGATGAGAACTGGCCTTCCTAAGCTTCCTATCATCCAGTGCCTGGAGAGAAGCTCTTTTTCCTGGGAGTTAGATGCCTTGTCTACCCATTCTCTGCCTCTCAGCCCCAACCCCTGCATCTTACAGCTCCTCCCTCCCTTCCAGGGACCCGAGGTTGGTGTTTGTAGTTTGGTTTGCTTTAGACCCAAGCATCACTGTTTATCTCCATCATGAGTGGGAGTAGATTTGTTTACTTAGAACTAAAAGTCCTCTGTTGAGAGGGGAGGAGATTCTTGCAGCCAGGAAGCAGAGCAGTCAGTGCTGTCATGAGTTCCTGGAGTGTAGACCTCATTCCTCACTGAAATTTCTGTGTCTCCAGCTCCCACACTACCTCCAGGACAGGGAGAACCTTCCAAGGCAACAGGTGTAGCCTCGCCGGGCCAAGAGGACAAAGAGGAGAGTGGTTCCCTGAAGGACTCCCAGCAAGCCCAGCAAGCCCTGGATGAAGTGCAGGTGGCTCAGCAGGTAGAAGGTAATGGCGCTGTTCGGCTTGATGTCTCCTCTGACAGGGAGGAACCTGGTAGGGAGGCTGTGGAGCTTGGTTTTCTGGGTTCCAGGCCCTCCCACCCTGTCCATTCCTCCTTAACTCAGAAGTCAAGGTCTAGTGGGAAGTAACTATGCTCAGCAGGTAAACAGCAGCACAAGGCAAGGGTACATAGAGTTTGCTCTTATGCAGGGGCTGCTGCTCATACAATAAAGATGCCAGGGCTTCGAGTGATCACTGGCCTGTTCTGTCTAGCATCGAACACCCTAAGATTTTTTTTCCTGAAATGCTTGGTTTCCAGTTTTCAAACTTAATGAAACATCAGAAGCATCCTACAGAGATTGTGTGTGTGTGTGTGTGTGTGTGTGTGTGTGTGTGTGTGTGTGTGTTTATAGGAAAACAGATTGCATCTCTTGCCAACTCCATATCCAGAGCCCACGGAGCCAGTGTTGGAAAGTAAGGGTGCTTGGCTTTCACTTCTGTTCCCTCCTTTGGGGCTGCTTTCCTGCACAGTGACCTTGCTAGTCCTTCTGCCTGTCTTCATAGAACGAGGTTGAAGGGAGCAAGAATGTTCCATTCAGATGGTTCTTTTGAGCATCACTTACACAATGGCCCAGCAGTAGTGGACAGCTGGATAAAGCACTTCAACCAGACCACCACCACAGGAGCTGAGAAGTCCTCTTATTTTTTATTTATTTTTATAATTTATTTTTAAAGATTTATTTATTTTTATTGGAAAGACAGATTTAAAAAGAGAAGGAGAGACAGAAAGGTCTTTCATCCACTGACTCACTCCCCCAAGTGGCTGCAATGCCTGGGGCTGAACCGATCCAAAGCCAGGTGCTAGGAGTTTCCTCTGGGTCTCCCACATGGGTGCAGGGTCCCAAGGACTTGGGTCATCTTCTACTGCTTTTCCAAGCCACAAGCAGGGAGCTGGATGGAAAGTGGAGCAGCCTTGACATGAACCAGTGTCCATATGCTATCACAGCATTTGGAGATGGAGAATTAGCCAATTGAGCCATTAATACTGGAGTCTCGTCTCTTTGAGACTGCAGTGTTTGAAACCCTGTTGTTTGGTTTTGTGGAGAGAAAGGCCACACAATGTTTATGCCTGTGCATATTGGCTTTGATGGTGGGAGAGGGTTCTTCTGCCAAGTGACCTGCCCCTGACCTGTTGAAAAATCTGTCTCCCTCCTCTGCTTTCCTCCCACAGGTGATGCGGTTTCTGGTCCCGAGGCTCTCTTCAAGACCCACATGTGTCCAGAGTGCAAGCGCTGCTTTAAGAAGCGGACGCACCTGGTGGAACACCTGCACCTCCACTTCCCTGACCCCAGCCTGCAGTGCCCCAACTGTCAGAAGTTCTTCACTAGCAAGAGCAAGCTCAAGACCCACCTGCTGCGGGAGCTGGGCGAGAAGGCCCACCGCTGCCCGCTGTGCCACTACAGTGCAGTGGAGAGGAATGCGCTCAACCGCCACATGGCCAGCATGCACGAGGATATCTCCAACTTCTACTCCGACACCTATGCGTGCCCTGTGTGCCGGGAGGAATTCCGCCTCAGCCAGGCCCTCAAGGAGCACCTCAAGGGGCACACGGCGGCCGAGCCACCACCCCTCCGCTGCTTCCAGGGAGACTGTGGCTACACCAGCGCCGATCGCAAGGCTTTCATCAAGCACCTAAAGGAGAGCCACGGGCTGCGGGCTGTGGAGTGCCGCCACCACGCATGCCCCCTGCTCTTTGCCACAGCAGAGGCCATGGAGGCCCACCACAAGAGCCACTTCGCCTTCCACTGCCCCCACTGCGACTTTGCCTGCTCCAACAAGCACCTGTTCCGCAAACACAAGAAGCAGGGCCACCCTGGCAGTGAAGAGCTGCGCTGCACCTTCTGCCCTTTTGCCACCTTCAACCCGGTGGCCTACCAGGACCACGTGGGCAAGATGCATGCGCATGAGAAGATCCACCAGTGCCCTGAGTGCAGCTTCGCCACTGCCCACAAGAGGGTGCTCATCCGCCACATGCTGCTGCACACCGGTGAGTGGTGGGGGTAGCAGCTGTGGGAGCGCCTTGAGGAGAAGCTTGCAGGCTTTGTCCCACTTGCCTGGGGATTCCTAAACACAGATCAGGCATTTCACATTTACAAAGCAGCTGTGGCTTGAGGGTCATTCACCTAGTAAAGTGGCAGAGCTGAGGGCTGAACCCTTATCCTGTGTTTCCTCACCCCTCGCCAGATGTTGGGGGGACCACCCCTATTTTTTTTTCTTTATCTTTATTGGACCTATACTGTTGAGGTGAGGAGACCCAGGATAGAGCAGGTGATTTTAATTTTAAAAATAAATTTTTATTTATTTGTTAGGATTTACTGTTTTCAGGCCCGGCATGGTGACCTAGCTGCTAAAGTCCTTGCCTTGAATGTGCCAGAATCCCATATGAGTGCTGGTTCTAGTCCTGGCAGCTCTGCTTCCCATTCAACTCCCTGCCTGTGGCCTGGGAAAGCAGTTGAGGACGGCCCAAAGCCTTGGGACCCTCACCCACATGAAGCTCCTGGCTCCTGGCTTCGGATGGGCTTAGCTCTGACTATTGCAGCCACTTGGGGAGTGAGTCAGTGGATGGAAGATCTTCCCCTCTGTATATCTGACTTTGCAATAATAATAATAACAATAATAATAAAAGGATTTATGGTTTACATTTGAAAGGCAGAATTACACAGAGAAAGAGGAGAAGAGATAGAGAGAGATCTTCGATCTACTGGTTCACTTCTTAAAATGTTGCAATGGCCAGAGCTAGGCTGATCCGAAGCCAGAAGCCATGAACGTCTGAGTCTCCCATGTGGGTTATAGGGGCGCAAGGATTTGAGCCATTCTCTACTGCTTTCCCAGGGCATACAGGGAACTAGGTCAGAAGTGAAGCAGCCCAGACTCAAACTGGCACCCATAATAGGATGCCAGTGCTGCGGGTCCCTAGATAACCTTTGGCAATTCAAGTGTTGGGGTGCGCTGTGAAAGAAAGAAGGCAGGGAAACTGATTCAGCCAGATACATTATGGTCCTCGCCAGCTTGGGCAACCATATCACAGAGATAGGGTCACTTGGCAGTGACATGGGTGTTGTACATGTTTCAGCTCAAACTCCTTTTGTCTGTTTTTATTTTCAAAGGCATAGGAACAGGGAGAAACTACTGCTTTCCATTGCCTCATTCTCCAGGTGTCCACACAGCTGGGGCTAGGCCAGGCCAAAACCAGGAGACCGGAGCTCTGTCCAGGCTAGCAGGACTACACTACTTGAGCCCTTTCACCCACCACCTCCCAAGGGTGCACATGAGCAGGAAGTTGGAATTGGAAGTGGAGCTAGGACTCAAACCTAAGGATTCACATATGGGACACAGACCTCCAAATGAAAGCTTATACTGTATCTGACATCTAATTGAATAATGACAGCATACACTGCACCTGCCATCTAGTTGGATATTCGCATTCCTGATGCTTTAGGTGACAGCCAGGGAGGCTCCCTGCTCCACTACCATCCCATTTGTAATTGTCATGTAAGTGCCAGATTGCTGGAACATGAACACATTTGTGTCCAAGACTTTAGGCAGCTTGAGACAGTCATTCTTATTGTCATTGAATGGTTCATTGAATGTCATTTTTCTGGGGCCTCTCCCAAAACCATGCGTCTGTATGGTGCTTAATAGTGTACAGAACTCTGTCATGTATATTATGCCATTCATCTCTAATATGAATCTTATAAGGAAGACAGATAGAGAAAGGAGGCTTTGGGAAATTAAACTCGGATCTGCTTTAAGATCACGTAGCTAGGGGCCAGCATTGTGACACAACAGATTAAGCCACTGACAGACACCAGCATCCCTTATGGGCACCAGTTTGATCCAGTTGCTTGCTGATACACCTGGGAAAGGAGCAGAGATGGCACAAGTGCTGGGTCCCCTGCACACATGCGGGAGACCTACAATTTCAGGCCCCGCCTCATTTTGGTTTGGCGCAGCACCAGCTGTTTATAATCATTTACAGAGTGAACCAAGGGCGCGAGAGCTCTGTATCTCCTCTCTGTAACTCTCTTTCAAAAATTTTTTTCTTAATAAGGATCACATCACTAGGTGTCAGATCTAGACCACAGCTTGCCTTCATCACAGGGAACAGATGGGTCAGCAGAGATAATGGGGAGGAGTCCTGAAGGGACATGGGTCCCAAACTCTTAGTGTCAGGTCCCAGACAATGGATGACATGCACAGGTCAACCACAGGGTGACTCTTCCACCAGCTCTGTGCAAGCAGATTTTATTGTTGGCCCCTTAATAGCTCCGTGTGTGTGTGTGTGTGTGTGTGTGTGTGTGTGTGTGTGTGTAGGTAGGTAGTTATATAAAATATGACTCTTCTTTTTTTTTTTTTTTTGTTACAAATTTTCTTTTTGGCTGACACAATGGCTTTGCAGCTGAAGTCTTTGCCTTGAACTTACCAGGCACTGGCTCTAGTACCGGCGGCCCCACTTCCCATCCAGCTCCTTGCCTGTGGCCTGGGAAAGCAGTTGAGGACAGCCCAAAGCCTTGGGACCCTGCACCTGCATGAGAGACCCAAAAGAGACTCCAGGCTCCTGGCTTCAAATGGGCTTAGCTCCAGCCATTGCGGCCGCTTGAGGAGTGACCCATCAGATGGAAGATCTTCCTCTCTCTCCTCCTCTCTGTATATCTGCCTTTTCAATAAAGATAAATAAATCTTTAAAAATTTTTTTTTGGAATTTCTTTATTGGAAAGGCAGTTATACAGAGAAGAGAAAGAGAAAGGTCTTTCATCCGACGGTTCACTCCCCAAATGGCTGCAGTGGTCGGAGCTGAGCTGATCCGAAATCAGGGCCGAGGAGCTTCTTTCAGGTCTCCCATGTGGGTGCAGAGTCCCAAGACCTTGGACCAAACTCTACAGCTTTCCCAGGGTACAAGCAGGGCACTGGAAAGGAAGTAGAGCAGTTTAGACACAAACTGCTGCCATTTAGAATCCCTGCAGATACAAGGCGAGCATTTAGCCACTAGGCTGTTGCGCTGGGCCTAATAGTTCTTTTGTTTATTTGTTTGTTTGTTTTATACAGAGAGGAGGAGAGACAGATCTTCTGCCCATTGATTCGCTCACCAAGTGGCCACAACGGCTAGAGCTGAGCTCATCCGAAGCCAGGAGCTCTTCCAGGTCTCCCACGTGGTTGCAAGGTCCCAAGGCTTTGGGCCGTCCTCTACTGCTTTTCCAGACCACAAGCAGGAAGCTGGATGGGAAGCCAGGCTGCCAGGACTAGAACCGGCACCCATAGGGGAGTCCTGCGTGTTCAAGGCGAGGAGGACTTTAGCCTCTAGGTTACAGTGCTGCCCCCCCCCCCCGCCTTTTTTTTAAGATCTATTTATTTTTATTGCAAAGGCAGATTTACAGATAATGAGAGACAGAGAGAACAGAAAGAAAGTTCTTCTGTCCTCTGGTTTCCCTCCTCCTCCCCAAGTGACTACAATGGCCAGAGCTGAGCTAATTCAAAGTCAGGATCCAGGAGCCTCTTCCGTTCTCACACATGGCTCTGGGTCATCTTCTACTGCTTTCCCAGGCCACAAGCAGCGAGTCAAAGGAAGTGGATCAGCCAGGACATGAGCTGGGATCCATATGAGATCCCGGCACTAACAAGACAATGACTTGGGCACTGAGACATCGTGCCACAACCCTTAGCACCTCCTTTCGTAAAGCACTCAGAAAGGTGCCTGGCATACAATGAGTACTATACTTATGTTGGGATTAACTGGCAATAGTTTTATTCTGCATAGAATTCAGTCAGAGGTATTTGTTTTATTTGAAAGGCAGAGTGACAGAGAAACAGAGAGCAAGCTCTTCTATCTGCTAGCTCATTCCCCAAATAGCTGCAACAGCCTGAACTAAGCCAGCCAGGAGCCAGGAACTCCATCCTGGTCTCCCACCTGGGTGGCTGGGGGTGGTGGCCTTAGCCATCATGGACTGCCTTCCCAGGTGCATCAGAAGCTGGATTGGAAGAAAAATAGCCAGGACTCAAACCTGTAACCCATTGTGGGATGCTGGCCTCACAGTGACTTCAAACAATGGAACACAGCCTACTGTTCCCGAGTCCCAGTTTTTAAGCTGCATTCTGATGTCTGATAGAAACTAGAAGGGGGCCCGGCAATATGGCTTAGTGGTTAAAGTCCTCACCTTGCACGCGCTGGGATCCCATATGGGTGCCGGTTCTGGTCCTGGTAACCCCGCTTCCCATCCAGCTCCTTGCCTGTGGCCTGGGAACCCTGCACCTGTGTGGGAGACCTAGAAGATCTCCTGGCTCCTAGTTTCGGGTTGGCTCAGCTCTAGCCATCGCAGCTGCTTAGGGAGCGAACCATCAGATGGAGGATCTTCCTCTCTGTCTCTCCTCCTCTCTGTATATCCGCCTTTCCAATAAAAATAAATGGGTCTTAAAAAAATAAATAATAAATAAATTAAATAATTATTAAAAAAAGCTAGAAGGGATTGTGGCAAAGGGAATAGTTGGCTGTAAGTGTCAGCAAGCTGAGTGACAAAGTAAGAGCAGACTAAAGGGCTGGTATGCAAAAGCTCCGTCTCTCCCCTCCCCACCTCTGCTATGGTATTGGAGCCAGGGGAGTGCCCGTGTGGGAGGGCTGTGGGATGGCCTGAGGCCGAAGTGCTCCACCTCCCAGCCAGCGTGAGGCTGGTGCTCCCACCCGGCCCAGGGCATGCTTGCCCAGGGGATGGTCTGGCCACTCTTCTAACCTGGCTTCTCTTCCCACTTCATGCCACATCCCCCCTAGGCGAGAAACCCCATAAGTGTGAGCTGTGTGACTTCACCTGCCGTGACGTGAGCTACCTGTCCAAGCACATGCTGACCCACTCCAACACCAAGGATTATATGTGCACCGAGTGTGGCTACGTCACCAAGTGGAAGCACTACCTCAGTGTGCACATGCGCAAGCATGCAGGCGACCTCAGGTACGGGCACACTTGGGCACCTCATGTTGAGCAGGCATCCTCCCAGAGCCACCTGCTGGAACTACTGCTTTCTTGGGTCATCTTCCCCCTGACACCCTTATGTGCTCCTCCACCTCAGCCCTGCTGCCTTGGCTGGACGCTGACTGTCACCTGAATCCTCAGAGTCCAGTCCCCAGAAAGTGCATTAGGCACCACACTTAGGTCCCCAGCCATAGCCACTTGCACATCCAGGCCCATCCTCCGGCCTGTGAGCACAGCTCACTGTCTCTGGCTTCTCAGGCCTCCAAGGGGAGAATAGGATAGAAACATGGAAATGTACCCTGTGGGCCTGGAGTCCTGTCAGTGCCTTACACATCCACACGGTGAGGCGTCCTGTGCTTTAGGAAAGTTGCAGAGGCTGCGCAGGCCCTGACACTAGGCAGCCTCTGCCCCTCACCAACTCAACCCCAGGCAGGTCATCAACTCTGCCTTGGTCTCCTTGTTTGTGAAGTAGCTGCCGACCTCCCAGAGGAGTAGTGAGGAGAGCTGATCTAATCCACACATGTGTGATAGTGAGTGGAGAGCCCCAGCCCACAGAGTATGTGTGGGGTGACTGTTAGCTTCTGGGCTTGACTGATCGCAGTGGCGTCCCCTTCTCCCCGCCTACCCCCTTCCTCACCAGGTACCAATGCAACCAGTGCTCTTACCGCTGCCACCGAGCCGATCAGCTCAGCAGCCACAAGCTGCGGCACCAGGGTAAGTCCCTGATGTGCGAGGTGTGTGCCTTCGCCTGCAAGCGCAAGTACGAGCTGCAGAAGCACATGGCTTCCCAGCACCACCCAGGCCCCCCAGCCCCGCTCTACCCATGCCGCTACTGCAGCTACCAGAGCCGCCACAAGCAGGCGCTGCTGAGCCATGAGAACTGCAAGCACACCCGCCTGCGGGAGTTCTGCTGCGCCCTCTGCGACTACCGTACCTTCAGCAACACCACCCTCTTCTTTCACAAGCGCAAGGTCCACGGCTACGTGCCAGGGGACCAAGTCTGGCAGCTCCGTTACGCCAGCCAAGAGCCAGAGGGAGCCAAGCAATGCCCCACACCCCCACCAGACTCGCAACCCTCAAACCAACAGTCAGCCCAGCCTGAGGGGCTAGGCCACCAGCCAGGGGCTGGAGCCGAACCCAGTTTGAACCAGGCACTGCCAGAGACCAATGAGGAACACAGCACCAGGAGACAAGGCGAGGCTCCCCATCGGGACGACTTGGTGGACAGCCTCAGCCCTGCCGAGGTAGAGGAGGGAGGCTGCACCCTGCACCTGGAGGCTCTGACAGTAGAGCTGGGCCCTGTGGCCATGCGCCCTCTGGAGGAGGTGACTGAAACAGCCCCGGGCCAGTTAAGATCCCTAGATGCTTCTGAGCCACTGACAATGGGAGAGCCAGAGCTGCCCAGCTTTGAAGGCGTTGGCGCTTCGGGCTTGGCTGCCGAGGAGGGACCTGTTCTGGAGAAATCAATCCCTGAACCCCCAAGAAACCCTCCCTCCCCAGGGGAAGCTCCTCCTGGCTGGGCAGAAAGCTACAAGGAAAGTGTGCCCTCTGAGCCAGCAACCTCAGCCCAGCTGCCCGAGAGTGAGGCGGTGCTCAAAGCCCTCCGGAGGCAGGACAAGGAGCAAGCAGAGGCGCTGGTGCTGGAGGGGCGGGTGCAGATGGTGGTGATCCAGGGAGAGGGCCCAGCCTTCCGCTGCCCACACTGCCCGTTCATCACTCGCCGCGAGAAGGCCCTGGCCCTGCACTCCAGGACCGGCTGCCAGGGCCGCCGAGAGGCCCTGCTGTGTCCCGAGTGTGGGGCCAGCTTTAAGCAGCAGCGTGGCCTCACCACACACCTGCTGAAGAAGTGCCCAGCTCTGATCAAGAAACACAAGGCTGTGCCTACATCAGACTGTCCCAGCCCTGGGCCCACCCCGCTCCCAGGCCCACAGGCATCTGAGGATGCTCAAGTGGAGAAGCTTGGCCCCACGGCCTTGGAGGTGGAGCACCTGCTTCTGCAGGACACTTCTCCCAGTCCTCCCCAAGAAGCACTGGAAGGTCTGGCCCCTCCCTCGGGATCCCCAGGGCTTCCTGCAGGCAAGCCCTCCTCCCCCGAAGTCCCTGACAAGTTCTACTTCCAGCAGGGCAAGTTTCACTGCACCTCATGCACCTTCCTCTGCTCCAGGCTGTCCTCCATCAGCTCTCATGTGGCTGAGGGCTGCCGCGGAGGCCGCGGCGGGAGTGGGAAGCGGGGGCTGGCACAGGTGGCCCAGCCTGCAGTGTCTCCTATGAGCAGCGGGGACTCTGCTGCCCTGCCCACCAACAGCTCAGAACCTGGCCCTGGGGACGGGGACACAGCTGTGACTCCAAAGCAAAAGGGGTCCCGTTTCTCCTGCCCGACATGTCCCTTTAGCTGCCGACAGGAACGAGCCCTGAGAACTCACCAAACCCGGGGCTGTCCCCTCGACAAATCCAGAGAGCTGCACTGCGGCCTCTGCCCCTTCACTGCTGCCGCCGCCGGCGCCCTACGGCTCCACCAGAAGCGGAAACACCCGTCGGCAGCTCCAGCCTATGGGCCCCGGCCCGCTCTGCAATGTGCAGACTGCGGCTTCACGTGCAAGCAGAGCCGCTGCCTGCAGCAGCACCGGCGCCTCAAGCACGAGGGTGTGAAGCCACATCAGTGCCCCTTCTGTGACTTCTCCACCACCCGGCGGTACCGCTTGGAGGCACACCAGTCCCGACACACAGGTGTCGGCCGCATCCCCTGCAGCTCCTGTCCCCAGACCTTCGGCACCAACTCCAAGCTCCGCTTGCACCAGCTCAGGGTCCATGACAAGACACCCACCCACTTCTGTCCGCTCTGTGACTACAGTGGCTACCTCCGCCACGACATCACCCGCCACGTCAATAGCTGCCACCAGGGCACTCCCGCCTTTTCCTGCTCCCAGTGTGAGGCCCAGTTCAGCTCAGAGACAGCGCTAAAGCAGCATGCTCTGCGCCGGCACCCAGAGTCCACCCACCCTGCCCCCAGGTCCCCCGCTGAGGCCACCGAGGGGCCCCTGCACTGCTCTCGCTGTGGGCTACTGTGCCCCAGCCCTGCCAGCCTGCGGGGACACACACGGAAGCAGCACCCCCAGCTCCAGTGCGGGGCCTGCCAGGAGGTCTTCTCCAGCCGGCCGGCCCTGGAGGAGCACCGGAAGCAGCAGCACTTTAGCCACCGCTGCCAGCTCTGCAACTTTGCCGCCCGTGAGCGGGCAGGCCTGGTCAAGCACTACCTGGAACAGCATGAGGAGACCTCAGAGAGCAGCGGGGACACCGGCCAGCCCCCTCTGCGCTGTCCCTTTTGTGACTTCACATGCCGCCACCAGCTGGTATTAGACCACCATGTGAAAGGGCATGGGGGCACACGGCTCTACAAGTGCACTGACTGTGCTTACAGCACCAAAAACCGGCAGAAGATCACCTGGCACAGCCGCATCCACACAGGGGAGAAGCCTTACCATTGTCACCTCTGCTCCTATGCCTGTGCCGACCCCTCCCGCCTCAAGGTAAGCTCGGGCTAGGGTACAAAGAACGGAAGGGGTACGGGCCCCGAGGTAAGCTACCCCATTTTTCTCTCATCTTGACTTCCAAATACTAGCTCCATGGCTTTGGGCAACTTCCTGATTTCTCCAAGGCTGTACCTGACCCCGTACAAAGGGGAGAATGCTCCATGGGATTGTTATACAATTCCATATATGTGCTTGCCATGTGATAAGGTTTATAACACTACACTGGCATTGTGGTATAGCAGGTGGAGCTACCACCTACAATTCTAGCATCCCATATGGGTACTGGTTCATATCCTGGCTACTCCACTTCCAAATCCAGCTTGCTGCTAATGGCCTGGGAGAGCAGCAGCAGGTAGTTCCAGTGCCAGGGCCCTTGCACCCACATGGGAGACCCCGATGAAGCTCTTGACTCCCCCAAATGGCGACAACAGCCAGGGCTAGGCCAGACCAAAGCTGGACCCGGGAACTTCATCCCCTCTCCCACACAGGCAACGGAAGCCCAAGTACCTGGAAAATCTGCTGTCTTCCCAGGTGCATTAGCAGGCATCTGGATCTGAAGCAGAACAGTCAGGACTTGAACTGGCACTGACATGGGAGGCCAGTGTCACACACTGAAGGATTCACCTGCTATATGACAACAGCCACCCCAAGATGTGGACACTTTTACCATTCCCCATTGTCATAGTAAATGGAGAAGTCCGTGCTGTGTTATACATGTGCACAGCAATTGGCATTGCCAAGCTGGTCAGGACAGATATAAGGTGAGGTCAGATGGGTTAGGTTGGTGTCCCAGGGACCCGCTGGGCAGGTCTGGTTGGTGAAGGAGCATGGAATAGACCCCAACTTGCCCATGTAGTGAGTGTTAAGGGGTGCCTGCTCTCTGCCCACTGCCCTTCCCTCTTTCAGTACCACATGAGAATCCACAAGGAGGAACGCAAGTACCTGTGCCCTGAGTGTGGCTACAAGTGCAAGTGGGTCAACCAGCTCAAGTACCACATGACCAAGCACACCGGTGAGTGCTCTGCTTTGGCAGGCTGCATGGAGGTGGAGGATGTTCTGGGGACAGTGGGCAGAACAGAGGTGGGAGGGGTGCTGATTGGAAGGGGGTGGCCTAAGGGCCTGCACATGGGTACTTAGCAAAAGCTGCCCCAGGGCCAGCACTGAGACCCTCAACCTTGCCAGCAGGTCACCTGGTTCCTACACAGACAGGGTGGAGCTGGGATGGATGAGGAGGAGTGAGTGAAGAGTTGCTCTCTTCAGAGCATCCTTCCACCCTCCTGGGTGTGGATGCCACCCACTACCTGCAACCTCAGCCAGGGGCCCCTGGTCCTGTAACTGGGACTGTTGCATGTGGCGCCCCAAATGGAGAACTGATCTGATGCACTTCAGGGCCCTCTGCTTCTCTGAATACTGCTTCGTTTGCTTTCACTTCTTCCCTGTAAGCATTTTCTTTCACTTTGTGAGTTAAACAAGCAGTTGTGTTTGAATGGATTCTCAAATCCCTGAGTACCCCATAGCCAAAAGAAGGTGAGAATTTCCTGTTTGGAAACCTTGCAATACTTGGATACTCATTACCACCAGGGGTGACTAGTTGGTGACGGCACCCAGTGAGCTGGGAGAGAGGTGCCAACATGTCAGATAGGACCGGAACATTCCAGCGGTGCTTGTCAGTCAGCTTGCTTCCTGCTTTATGTATAGACTGGGATCCCAGTGACTCTAATGGCCCACTGGACCACATTCTAGTCCCTTCCATGGTGGTTTGTTCTCTGTCCTGTAGGCCTGAAGCCATACCAGTGCCCTGAGTGTGAATACTGCACCAACCGGGCCGACGCACTGCGTGTGCACCAAGAGACGCGGCACCGTGAGGCTCGGGCCTTCATGTGTGAGCAGTGTGGCAAAGCATTCAAGACTCGTTTCCTGCTGCGGACCCACCTCCGCAAGCACAGCGAAGCCAAACCCTACGTGTGCAACGTGTGCCGCCGAGCTTTCCGCTGGGCTGCTGGCCTGCGCCACCACGCCCTCACCCACACCGACCGCTACCCCTTCTTCTGTCTCCTCTGCAGCTACAAGGCTAAGCAGAAATTCCAGGTGGTCAAGCACGTACGCAGGCACCACCCTGACCAGGCTGACCCAAACCAAGGTGTAGGCAAGGACCCCACGACTCCCACGGTGCACCTGCAGGACATGAAACTGGAGGAGCCCCAGCCACCCGCTCCTGCTGCCCTGCCCACTGGGCCCGAGGGATGAGTTGGCCCTCCCTCTTGGAGGACTGTGACCTGAGCTGCACAGACAGAAGTTGAAACTGGCCTGGAGTACTCGGAGCTCTTGAGGGACTGGCTTTGGGGTGTCAAAATGACTGAGAGTCTGGCTGTGATACACTGAAATTAACAGCTATGTGAAAAGTTGACCCAGGCCCCCACAGGGATGTCATACTGAGGCTCACTGTGTGGTCAGCCTGGAGTGGCCAGCTTCTCTCCACCAAAGGTCCTAACAATAAGATCTTGGTTTCATTCACCCTCTCTTTCCTTCTTACTGGATCAAGTCCCGTTTTCTTGCGGTGGCTTCCAAGCCGTTGGAGCTGCCCGCATGCACCTCTGTACCCAGGGTGCTATGAAGCTGGTCAGGCAGCAATCGTCCCCAGCTCGCAGCTTAGCCAGATCCCTGGGTCAGCCTCTCCAGGCTCAGCCCAGGGCAGACCTCTACCTCCACTCTGTCCTCTTCCAGCCCCACCCAGTGGTTGGTGCTGAAACACACCCGGGTCAGCTTTGCTCCACCCTTGAACCTGTCCCAGCCCTTGACTTGCTCTCTACTCCAAGCGCCTTTGTCTATCTGCAGAGCAGGCATTGCCCCCCACAAAGTCTCATTCTGCATCAGTCCATGGCCAAGCTTGGCCACAGCACCAGGGGCACAGTAAACATTGGATGCCTGTGGCAGGCAGTCTCCAGGCAAGGAGTCCGTTGGTGCTTTGCTGTGTCATTCCTGGAATGCACCAGGAAAGTTAAATGGGGTGCTCCACATCGTTGTGCGAGACCAGCAGACACAAACCACAACTCTTCCAGGCCGACTGCAGGAGGACTAGGACCACGTGACACTCGGGTTCCTCTTTTACCCCTTAGAAGCCACAGCGCAGTCCCTATAATATAGCAGGTGCAGGAAGCACCCCAGAAACCTCTTTCTCCCCATCTCTCCACCCTTCTTGCCCAAGAATGACAGACTATATATTCCAAGCCAGACAATCTCTGTTCATCCCAGGGGAGCTAAGGAGGCATCTTCCTGTGGGGACATTCTCTTGAGAGTCACAGCACAGTCCTGGGCTGGGGGTTCCTCAGTCTTTGTGTGGGGACTCTGGAGCCTTGATCTATCTTGCCTTTGATGCCAAGTTCTGAGAAGGTCAGCTGGAGCGGACATTGGGTCTCTCGACTTCTCTGCTGCAGGGCCCTCTCTGACTTGCTAGCTGCAGTCTGACTTTGCACCGAATACTTGCCGTAGATCTGGGGGTGGGTCTGAGCCTATGGCAAGAGGAAGGAGGGAATTCAGGGTAGAGCATGCAGAAAGGAGAGAGGCCAAAGGCTTGTAAAAACAAGGAAAGGGAAAAGCAAGACAGTGAAACGTGGCATCCTAGATTTGCTTGTTAGGAAGGACAAGGGGTGTTCATCCCCTCCGTTTAGTCTTGAGAGCTTCCTTGCAGATCTGGGTTACCACATAAAGCCAGTGCACTCACCCTGGCCATGAAGTAGCCAGCTCAGGATTCCAGGTCTTCCCGGATGCAGATGTACACAAAGATGGAAGCTGGGCGAATACTAGTGCCATCCTTGGAGAGCAGGTGGATGTGGCGGTAGCCTGGAGAGGGACAGGGGACAACAGTAAGAAGGTAGCCAGAGCCTAGATACCAACCAGGGCACCTAGAGCTGGCTCACCTTGCTGCATACAGCTCCAAGGTAGGGTGTACTGACCAATAAAGTCATGCCGGGATTTCCAGTTGTAATCCTTGACCACAAAACGCACCATGGCAAGTTCAGGCACCAGGATCCTGAAGCACAGCGTCTGCCCCCAATACGGATTGAAACCTGAAGAGGGCAGGAGGGAACGTATGACCAGAACCCACCTGCCAGGTTGCCTTCCTCCTGTTTCCAGTCAATTTAGGTAGCAACTAGTAGTTTATAGGTGAGTCAGTTCCCTACTGCCTACCGTGGGGTCAGGGACCATGCCCACTGGAGAGGTCAGAAGGCCGCAGTGGGTGTGTTCTCACCAGTTCCTGGGCACTGCCAGCCTCTCACCATTGTTCTCCACATAGTTGGTCTCCTGCCGGGTTGTGTCGGGCCGGACGCCAAAGATCTCCACTTTGACAAATGGATCCACAATGGACTTCTCTTTGGTCTCATTCACTTTGGGAAGTTGCTGACCACTAATCACCTGTAAGCAAGGCCCTGGAAGCTCACAAGTCCCTGCCCAGCCTAGCTCCCCCACCCCACCACATCCTAGGAATCGCAGGGCTCTGCACTGGGGATTTCAGGTTTGCAAAGCTAATCCTCTGGGAAATGTATTTCCTGTGGGTAATTCCATCTGTGATTGCAAATGCATCCAAGTGGAAAGGCAGCAGGATTTGCAAGCAAGCATGCTGATGGCAGCAGCCTTCCCAAGCACCTACCGTGTACCAGGAGTTGTCAGCATTTCCCTACACACTCCTGGAAGGGCTATGTTATCCCCCGCTTTGCACGTGAGCCTCCAGAGGAACCATGAGGTTAAGAGCTTGCCAAGCTAAAGCTAGGCCACTGGCTCCAAGGTCTGTGCCATTAGCAATCAGTGACTCTCATACGGATCTTTGATTCAGGAACCCCTGGCGAAGCCTTGCCACCTGCCTCTTCCCCCCACTGCTCTCCTCAGCGACCCAATCTCCTTCCAGGGGTTTCATTTCCCTTACCTGGACCAGAAGCATCTGGGCCTTGAAAGGGCTGAGGGGCTTCTCGGGATGGAAGGAGCTCTGCGGATCACACAGGAACTGGGGCTTTAGCACGTAGCCGCAGGCGCCATTCTGCTGGAAGAGCCCGTCACAGATATCCATTTCCAGCCCTGCAGTCTGCATGTTCATAGCCACTGAGGGCCCCAGGAGAAGAGAAGAGAGACACTCGTCCTGAAGGCCTTCTAGCCCCATTTTTTGGGACTGAAGAAGGCAGGGACTCAGGGCTGGCATTGTGGTACAACAGATCAAGCACCACTTGCAACCCAGGCTTCCCATACTGCAGGGGTGGCAGTCCTGCCTCTGCTCCGGCTCTCTACTTACGTGTCTGCAAAGGGAGGGGAGATGGCCCAAGTGCTTGGGCTCTTGCCCCTCAACTGGGAGACCTGAGTGAAATTCCTGGCTTTGGCCTGGCCAAGCCTTGTCTGCTGTGGCCACTTGGGGAGATTGGCAAGATTTTCTTTCTGTGTATAGCTCCCTCTGTCACTTTGGCTTTCAAGTAAGTAAACATAAAATGATAATAGTCAAAGAAGACAGGTGCCAAAGGGAAGGATGTCTCAGGGACCACCCTGCACAGAGCATCTTTCTCAGCCCAGCATTTAGGGTATGGATTCCCCTGGTGCTTCTCCCAACCCCTGCCCCGAGTGTGCTGCCTCCTTACCCATCTGACAGCCGGCATTCCAGAGTTCCTGGGGATTATAGTTGGAAGAGTCTGTTCTCAGGCCGCTGGGGTACACACGGCTTAAATGTGTGGCATTGTGTTGTACAAACTCATTGCCTGTAAGAGGGATAGAGGTGGAGCCTCCCACAACCTTTGCCCCCAGGACCCTGTCCAGCCCCTCCTCCCCAACCTCTGAGCTGCTGCACGAAGTCACAAGGTGCCCCTCCAGACCGCCTGTGCTGAGCCGTTTCCTTTGCCTCATCCACTCTGAGGAGTTCCTTAGCTCCTTTGTCTCTCTGGCTCCTTGCCTTCTCTCTTAGACTTACCTGCCTGCCCATCATACCTAAACCTACCAATCCTACCCTCCCTGGTCCTCCCTTTCAATCCTGACCAGCCTCCTTGACCAGGTTCTTGGCCTTGTTCTCCGAGAAGGACGACATCTCGTAGAAGTGGTAGTTCTCCCTTGAGTGTGTGAAGCTGCGGAATGAGACAGACTGCAGGTAGATCACCAGGGCAGAGAGATCCGGACACAGGATGGGCTTGGATCTCTGAAGGAAACAGTGGAAAGCAGATGGACTTGAACCCTTGGCAGTCTGAAAGGGACAGCGCTAATGGCCCACCAACCTAAGCCTCTGCCCACAGCCTCCCGCTGCATTCTCCCTCCTGCCTCACCTGGTCATCTGCGCTGACACTGGGAAGGGGCACAGGATGGGTAACAGTCTGGGCCACACTCTGACAACAGATAGGCGGCCAAAACGGTGGACACAGCGCAACCTGGCGGTGGGAGTGGGAATAAAGGCAGTCTGCGTCTACTGCTGGGATCTGTTCCACCTCCCGGCTTGGGGATTCTACTAGGTCACCGCCTGGGTAGCAGACTTTCAATTTGTGACTCTTTTTCAATAGACAGAACAGACAAACCTCATCCTTCCTACTACTCTTCTTTCAAAAACAACTGAACAAGAATTAGGTCAAAACAAATTGAGATAGATAAATCAAGGTATGTAAGATAGTCACAGAAGCCACAGCCAGCGACAGTGTGGGTCCCAGTGAGCATCTCTGGATTTGTCTCCTGATTTTCCATTTCTAGCCCTGGATACTGCAGCAGGTTGGACACCACAACCCACAGGCAGGACCAGCTAAGCTAGAAGTCAGTTGGTTGGGTGAGCCAAACAAGTGCACAAGAAAGCAATGTGGGCTTCACATCAGGATGACAAGGGGAATCACCAGTTGCACCTTTTCTCCCTCTCGTGCCTGTAAGGAGACCATCCCTCCACGCCCTTGCACAGCCTTCCCAGAGCCTTCACCTCCCATACCTCAAACATCTCTCCCTCCTCTTCCTTTCTCTCTTCTAACTCATCTTTTCCAAGAAACTTTCCCTAATTAAATCCTTTCTAGTCAAGCTCACTATCAGTGTTTACATATTCCTACTTCATGCAACAAGGCCACACACACACTCCCACATCAGTTTTTCAAACTGAGACAGAGGAGTACAAAGATGTCTCAGGAGTCAGCTGGGGTGCCCGGGAGAGAGCTAAATAGGGGCTTCAATGAAGAGGATTGTGAATCTACCTATCTTGTTTAGTGCTCAAGTGTCCATGTTTAAGATTACACTTAAAGAAAAGGCTCTCATGTGCCTGATGCAATGGTCTAATGGCTGAACCCCCACCCTGCATTCTCTGGGATCCCATATGGGTGCTGGTTCGTGTCCTGACTGCTCCTTCCCATCCAGTTCCCTGCTTGTAGACTAGGAAAGTAATAGAGCATGGCCCAAAATCTTGAGACCCTGCACCCACGTGGGAGACCTAAAAGAATCTCCTGGCTCCTGGCTTCGGCTCGGCTCAGCCTCTGGCTGTGGCAGCCACCTGGGGAGTGATCCAGCATATGGAAGATCTTTCTGTCTTTACCTTTCTCTATAAATCTAACTTTCCTATAAAAAAATAAATCTTTTTTAAGAAAAAAGAAAGAAAATGTTCTTATGACTCCCAAACTTGAAAAATCATGGCAATATAGCTCTATACATGTATAGTAATAATATAATATAATATAATATAATATAATATAATATAATATAATATAATATAATATAATATAATATAATATAATATAATACCATGTATATATTCTTTTTAAAAAGATTTCTATATTTTTATTGGAAAGTCAGATTTACAGAGAGAAGGAGAGAAGGAGAAAGATCTTCTGTCCACTGGTTCAGCCCTCAAGTGGTTGCAACACTGGAGCTGAGCCAATCTGAAGCCAGGAGTCAGGAGCTTCTTCTTAGTCTCCCACGTGGGTGCAGGGTCCCAAGGCTTTGTGCCATTGTCTACTGCTTTCCCAGGGCACAAGCAGGGAGCTGGATGGGGGAAGTGGAGGCAGCTGGGATATAAATTAGTACCTACATGAGATCCCAGCATGTGCAAGGTGAGGACTTTAGCCACTAGGCTATCATACCAGGCCTGCAACATATGCATTATTATACCTGTCAAAGGATGGAAGGCCCATCTTGCCCCTGGCCCTCCACCCTGCAGCACTCTAATCTCTATTGGCTTCCACCCTAGTAGGCAGATCACATAACACGCTACACACAGCATGCCCACTCCCAGCCTGACAGGTAGACCATGTAGCACCTCGCCCATCTACTCTCAGTCTGGCAGGCGGACCACACTGCACCCAGCACACTCACTCCCAGTCTGGCAGGCAAGCCATGCTGCACACAGCACACCCACTTGCAGCCTGGTAGGTGGGCCATGCAGCACACTGCACACCCTCTCCCGGCCTACCTTCCCCTTCTTGTTCTTTCTGGGATGCAGCTCAGTCTCTGAGTGGTACTTGGGTTCCAGCTCCGGCTCTGTCCCCAGCTCACTCTCTAACTCCTCTTCCTTGTCCTCCATCTCTACCTCCAGTGTTAACTTTTTCCCCTTCACCAGGATTTTCCTTCGAAGCTCCTAGAGAACAAAAATGAAGGGACCCATCTATCTGTCTGCTCTGGGACCCTCTTGGCCATCCTGTAGAAGCCAGTGCCCTCAAAGACAGAGGATGTGTGCAGCAGAGATTTCCCAAGGAAGAGATGTACTGCCTGATGGATGTACCAGGAATAACTGACTGATAGGAAAGTCAGAGTGAAACAAAGATCTTCCATCTGCTGGTTTGTTCCCCAGATCCTACTCCATGGGATACCCTTGTTATCAAATAAAACTAAGACAGCTCTATTCACATGGAACACAAAATAATGTAAACATTCACCTAATGTTTGGCACACCAAAAATGTCTTTAGGGACCAGACTTGTGGTGCGGTTGGATAAGCCTCCCGTGATATCAGCATCCACATAAACATTGGTTTCAGTCCCTGCCACTCCACGTGTGGTCCAGCTCCCTGCTAATGCTCCTGGGAAAGCAGTGCAAGATAGTCCCAGTTCTTGGATCCCCTGCCATCTGCATGAAGTACATGTATGAGATCTAGATTAAATTCCTAACTCTGGGCTTTGGCTTAGCCCTGCACCTGCTGTTATAACAAGTTGGGGAGTGAATTAGCAGGTGGAACCTACCTACCTTTCTTTCTTTCTTTCTTTCTTTCTTTCTTTCTTTCTTTCTTTCTTTCTTTCTTTCTTTCTTTCTTTCTTTCCTTCTTTTCTTTCCTTCTTTTCTTTCTTTCTTTCTTTCTTTCTTTCTTTCTTTCCTTCCTTCCTTCCTTCCTTCCTTCCTTCCTTCCTTCCTTCCTTCCTTCCTTCTTTCTTTCTTTCTTTCTTTCTTTCTTTCTTTCTTTCTTTCTTTCTTTCTTTCTTTCTTTCTTTCTTTCTTTCTTTCTTTCTTTCTTTCTTTCTTTCTTTCTTTCTTTCTTTCTTTCTTTCTTTCTTTCTTTCTTTCTTTCTTTCTTTCTTTCTTTCTTTCTTTCTTTCTTTCTCTTTCAGACAAATAAATCTTAAAAAAACATTCACAGGTAGGGGCAGGCATCTAGTGTGGTACCTCAGTCACCACATGGAGGCGCCAGCATCCTGTAGCAGAATTCCTGGATACATGGCTCAGCTCCGTTTCTGCTTCCAGCTTCTTCCTAACACAGGTCCTGGGATGCAGCATGAGCTGGGAATTAGTGTCCCTGCCACCCATGTGGATAGCTGGATTAAATTTCAGGATCCTGGCTTTGGCCTGACCCAAACAACCCTAGTTATTATGGACATTTGAAGACTGAGACAGCAGAGAGATCTTCCTCTGTGTGTCCCTGTCCATGTCTTTGTGCTTCTCAAACAAATCAAAATGTAAGGGCCAGCACTGTGCTGTTGAGGGTTGGGCTGCCACCTGCAGCACCAGCATCACATGTGGGGGTACCAGTTCAATCCTGGTTGCTCTGCTTTGGATCTGGCCACCTGCTGATGGGCCTGGGAAAGCAGCAGTGGCCAAAATACTAGGACCCCTGAACTCATACGGGAAACCTGGATGGAGCTCCAGGCTTCTGGATTCAGCCTGGCCCCACTCCAGCCACTGAGGCCACTTGGGACATGAACTAACAGATAAAAGATTTCTCTCTGTATCTCGAAATCTACCTCTCAAATAAACAAATCCGAAAGAAAGAAAGAAAGAAAGAAAGAAAGAAAGAAAGAAAGAAAGAAAGAAAGAAAGAAAGAAAGAAAGAAAGAAAGAAAGAGAGGAAGGAAGGAAGGAAGGAAGAAAGAAAGAAAAGAAAAGAAAACCCTTTCTTCAGTGCCTTCTAGTATGAATCATCTCACAACTGGAGTTTTGGGGATTCACCCTCTGTTAGTCACAGGTTATTTGGCTAATTTGACTCCCTCCCCCAACTCCAGTGTGTAACTTGGCAATTAACTCAGAATTCAAAGTCCTAAACCCAACGATCCTGCTCCTAGGAACCTATTTCAAAGAAAAAAATGAATGAACAAAGTGGTGCATACAAGTGAAAAATCACAATCTAAATGTCATGGGCCAAATGTACCACAAATAATTCACAGCCCATGACATTTAATGAATCAACACAGAGCTATTAAAAACAACAATTGGATGCAAAGATATCTGTGATATATATGTAATGTGAGATAGATGGAAAAGGGACATAGAGGGCAAACACTTAGCCTGTCACGTAAGACACTGGTGGAATTACCCATTCCTTTCTTTGGAGTACCTGGATTGAATACCCAGCTCCCCTCCTGATTCCAGCTTTCTGCTAATGTAGACCCTGGGAAGCAGTGGGTGGGCTCTAGTAACCGGATTTTTGCCGTAGAAACGGCAGACCTGCATTGGGTTTCCAGGTCCTGGATTCAGTCTCACCTAATCTGGGCCATTGTGGGGATTTAGGAAGTGAATAGGACCCCTCTCTTTCTCCCCTCTTCTTTTTTCTCTCTATGTCAAATAAATAATTTTTATTTAAAAAGGTATATGGAGGATGATGCCACTCATAGTTTTAAAAACAATGAAAATGTTTATATAAGCATTTTAAAAACCCACTGAGAGATGCTAATATGGTCAGGATTACAATGGAGGGATTTCCCTTTCTCTGTGTTATTTTGTCATGTAATCTAAAATTATGAACTATTAGGAAAAAATAAGATGCATTGTGAAAAAAGAAATATAGTTCATTAAAAATGCAGAGAACTGGGGACAGCACTGTGGTGGGGCAGTTTAGAACACTGCTTGCAACACCAGCATCCTAGGTGGGCACCAGTTCGAGTCCTGGCTGCTCCACCTCTGATCCAGCTCCCTGGATTCACCTAAGGAAACAGAGGCATCATGGGGAGACTCAGATGGAGTTCCAGACTCTTGAATTGGGCCTGGCCCAACCCTAGTCATCATTGTGGCCATTTGGCGGCATGAACTAACAAATGGAAGTGATCTCTCTCTCTCTGTAACTCTTTAAAAAAAGATAAACAAAAAATTTAAAAGAGGCTGATTAAGGGTCTAGCATCATGATGCATAAGATTAAACTGCCACACAACTTGGCATTAAATTTTTGTGGGGGTGCACTACAAACAGGAGTCCATGCTCAGTTGTGTTTTTTAAAAGTTAAGAGCAGCATGATGCCATGTGAGGAAAGAAGGGTAGAGACTGCCGCAGGGCCCAGCTGGGGGACGGGTCCTCACCTCGGGCGAGGGCAGCTCGGTGGACAGCATGGGGTCCAGCGTGGCGATGAGCAGGTGCTCGCCCAAGATCTCGGTGAGGTGGCGCGCCATGGTCTGCTGCTGTTCCCAGCTGCAGTGGTTCTCCAGGGACAAGATGACTGGGTAGTCCGAAGCCTGGTGGGCAGCAGAGGACCAGCAGGCCAGGGATCTGGGAGCACTTGTTTTTACCTCCTTCCCCAAACACCTGTTCCCAGGCCCTCCCTCTTCACCTATGCAAATAAACACCTTGACTGTTCATCTCAGATCCCCTTGCCTGGGTTCTGGGCATCACACCTTGGACTACTGTCCTCAGCTAAGGTCACTTGTGCGATCCCGGATCTCATGGTTACGCCAAACCTGACCCAGTTTACTGTGGAACATTGAAAGCAGGTAACTCCCTGGTCTCAGGCTTCCATTACCCTCCAGGCTTCCACCTCCAGACTCCTGGGGCCCTCAGCAGCACTCACCTTGGTCTCTGACTTCTTACCTACCCTCTCCCAGATGGGCGAGGAGAAGTCTTACAATTAACCATTACTAACTGCTAGTAACTGTCTCTGGGACTGTCAGTTACGGTCCCATGCCAGCCATTTATTCCTCCTAAGCCCACAAGTTTAGCTTGGTGCTTTACAGCTCTGATACCATGCTGCCTGATGTGGCCTCCCCCATGACCCTCTCCAAGCCCCTTCCCAAGCCCGGAGCCACTCAACCTGGAAGCCACTTCCTACCTGGAAGGCGTACTGTGCCACAGTGGTCAAGACGTCTTTGAATAGAATGCGGGAAGTCAGGGTGTGGCCATGGTAAACGATGGGCTCTCCATTAGGTCCATCCCAGACATCAACCTCCACACAGCGGCATCCCCGCTTCAGGGCCCTGCAGGAGTCACCAAACCCCAAGACACAACACATCAAGGGATCATCTTCCACTGAATGCTCTCGCTAGCACCTATCTGTCCAGACCCCATTAAGCTACATCTGCATGGAATCACCCCTGACCCTAGGATCCTGCTGCAGCTCACACAGATCTTCCCCCTACCTGTCCCTCCCAACTCACTTCACAGCCCAGGCAGCTTGCTGGCCCTGCAACTTGTGGCACTTCCCTATGGCGGTTGAATGGCCTCACGCCACACTTGGGTTATGCCCACTCTTGGTCAATGTGGTCTCCACGAGACTTCCTGAGCCAGAAGCTTAAGAATGCTGCTCATTTCGGAGTAAAATTTCCACTCATTCTATATTCTCAGAAGCAGCCACTTCAGTTATTGGCATTACAAGGCATCCTGACTATTCAAGCTAATATGTGATTAATCATGCTAACAGTGGATACTGCTTATTAGGTAATGATCCAAGGATCAGCCCACTTAACTAATACCACAATCCAGTCACAACAGGTTCACACACAGGAGGACTGTCTGTACTTCATAGGTGGGAAACTGAGGCAGAGAGAGACTTGAATACCTGGCCCCAGAGGAGCTAGGATTTGAGCTTGGTGGTCTGACTCCAGAATCCTCGCTTTCTAACCATTACTGCTATCCATTTAGTATTTGGTTTATTTAGTTGTTCAGAATAAAGCTGCCAAGGACTCTGAACTCCCAAGGGTTATGAAAGGAAGAGAATTTCCATCTACTCTTAGGATCTCATTACTGTCCCTCTCAGTCATCAGTCCCTCCTGCAAGAACAGAGGCACATCAGCCCCACTCCCAACCCCACGCCTCCCTGATCCTAGTTATTCCCTCTTTCAGTGCCTCCCACCATGGTTCCCCTCTTAAACTTGCTCCCCCCCAACCCCCACAGCACCATATATATCCCTCGACGCTACTCTGGCCGTAGAGCTGGTCTTTGACTAGGTAGGTGTTGTGAGAGGAGTGGATGAAGTAGTGGCTCAGGGGTTGGGTCATGTCCTGGTAGATAGGGAGGCAGTCCGGGTTGAAGATGTCTCCGTCCCTTGAGCAGAGGTAGCTGAGGAAGCCATCCATGCTCAGCACATGCCTCAGTTTGCCTAGGGTATGGAGTGCGAAGTGTTACCATGAGCTGCTGGGAGGGGGGAAATGCCCCAGAAGCCCACAGCCCCTCCCTCCAGCAATCCCTCCAAGATCAGACTTTCCAGGTGGTGGCCACTCCCAGACCCCAGGCAGCTCCACCCTACATCTGTTGTCTTAGTTATTCTCCTCAGAGGATAGTAAAGGGCATTTTTCAGCAAGATCATTCTAGTCCAGGGATTCCCAATGAAATTTTTAGCAATGACAGTAGCACCCTGTCCTACAGTGCTGAGTAGGGTGGCCTCCACTCAGGTATAGCTATAAGCATTAAAATGTGGCTTATGGGCCCGGCGCGGTGGCGCAAGTGGTTAAGTCCTCGCCTTGCACGCCCGGGATCCCATATGGGCGCCGGTTCTAATCCCGGCAGCCCCGCTTCCCTTCCAGCTCCCTGCCTGTGGCCCGGGAAGGCAGTCGAGGACGGCCCAAAGCTTTGGGACCCTGCACCCGCGTGGGAGACCCGGAAGAGGCTCCTGGCTTCGGATCGGCATAGTATCGGCCCGTTGCGCTCACTTGGGGAGTGAATCATCGGATGGAAGATCTTCCTCTCTGTCTCTCCTCTGTGTATATCCGCCTTTCCAATGAAAAATAATAAAAATAAATCTTTAAAAAAAAATAAAATGTGGCTTATGTCACTGAGGAGCTAAGCTTTAAGTTTTAAATTGTAGTTGATTTGACATCATTTCCATTTAGTCTCTTGGTGCTCACAGTTGTTATGGACAGTGCTGTCCAGTATACAATGCAAAGGGATACGCTTCCAGATAGAAGCAAAAGGAGAAAGTCAGGGCCTGGTGCAATGGCTCAGATGGCTAAATCCTCGCTTTGTAAGCACTAGCATCCCATATGGGCGCTGATTTGTGTCCCAACTGCTCCACTTCCCATCCAGCTTTCTGCTTATGACCTGGGAAAGCAATAGAGGATGGCCCAAAGCCTTAGGATCCTGCACCCATGTGGGAGACCTGGAGGAAACACTGGGCACCTGGCTTCGGCAGGCACTTAGGGAGTGAAGATGGAAGATCTACCTCTCTGTCTCCTTCTCTCCATAAATCTGATCTGCCTTTGCAATAATGATACATAAATCTTTTAAAAAGAGAGAGAAAGAGTCAGAGACTGCTTAAGGATATGGCCAGGGGACCTGGCTTTTCCTGTTTGGGCTCTGAGGCTGCCACCGCCTATGTAAGGGCTTCTTCCTACTGCCTGTGCTGTTACTGGAGAAGCATCTATCCACACCTGTTTAGACTACACTCCCATGGAGGGAAGGGTCTTGTTACTTCTTCATAGCTACCACCCAGCTCCAAATGGACTTAGTATCTTAACAGTGATGATCTACAGCCACTGGGCACCTGCTCTACACCAAGGACACTGCATGTAGCATTACACTTCATGCCTTCACCAACACATGAGATGTCAGGAAGCTGGCCCCACGTCACGGAATCAGCAAATGCAGGAGCTGGGGTTTGAACCCAGGTAGCCAGATGTCAGAGCCATGCCCTGCCCAGCTGGACTGTGCAGCATCATTGAGAGTAATGTTGCCGCTGAGAGAGACTCGTCTAGGGGTTGGAACAACTCCACACCCAGCACCTTTCCTCCAGGCCTGGCTTGGCCTGAAGTTGGTGAAGAAGGGCAGGACACTAGGTGGGAAGTTTCCCTCTTGACAGTAATAACTCAGTTCACTCTGGTAAAACCATAGCCAGCAGATATGTTGGATGTGAAGTATTTTACCACCAATTAGTGTTAACTAAGTCTCAGAGTGGTTAAATGACTTTCCCAAGGACTCTCAGTTCATAAGCAAAGGGGAGATTAGCTCTTTTGATTGATACCACCATCTGATTGTCAAGCATAAGGAGAGAGAAATCAAGATGGATGAGGAGTTCAGCAAAGGTTGTCTTAGTTTGTTACATGATCACACGGAACACCACAGCCTTGTTCATTTACAAAGGACAGGGATTTGTTTCCTGTCATTCTGAAGGTTGGCAACTTCAAGCTGAGGGACCCCTACCTGATCAGGATCTTCTTGATGCCACAAGCCATGGCAGAAGGCAAAAGGGCAAGAAGGGTGAAGGGAGCTGAATTATCTTCTCATCAGGAACTCATTCCCCTGATAACTACCCACTCCTACAATGGCATCAGGGTAGAGCTCTTGTCAGCTAATCACCTTCCAGAGGACTCACCTGTATTCTTTGGGGGACAAATCTGATCTATAGATTTTTGCCTCTGATACCCAAAACTCGTAGCATCTTCATATATACTAAATACATTCGCTTTATACTAATGGTCCCAAAGTCTTAACTCTTTCCTAAACCAATTCAAAGGTCCAGCTGGTATTACCCAAATCACATACAGGTAAGATTTAAACACAATTCATTCCAGGGCAAATTCCTCTCCAGCTGTGAATCTGGAAAATTAATAAGTTACATGTCGGGCCCAGTGTGATGCTTCTCTTGGTTAATTCTTGCCTAGCAAGCACCAGGATACCATATGTGTACTGGTTCATGTCCTGGTTACTCCACTTCCCATCCAGTTCTCTGCTTGTGGCCTGGGAAAGCAGCAGAGGATCACCCAAAGCCTGGGGACCCTGCACTCATGTGGGATACCCAGAGGAGGCTCCTGGCTCCTGGCTTTGGATCGGATTAGCTCCAGCCATTGTGGCCACTTGGGGAGTGAATCATCAAATGGAAGATCTTTTTGTCTCTCCTGCTCCATAAATCTGATCTGCCTTTCCAATAAAAATAAACAAATCTTAAAAAAAAATTACGTGCCTCCAAAATATGATGGTGAAGCAGGTATCAGATAGACATCCTTATTCCAAAAGGAAGTAGGTAAGAATAAAGGGGTAACTGATCCCAAGTACTTCAAAATCTAACAGTTATAACATCATTAAGCCTTAAAGTTGGAGAACACTCTCCTTTGACTCCAGGTTCCACATTCTGGGCCAACTAGGGAAGCAAAGCCCCACCTTTATGGCTCTGCTGGACAGTGCACCCAGCAGCTCTCATGGTTTGAGTCTCATGCCTTTTTACTGCTTCCCCAGGCTGAAGTCACCTGTTGATGGTTCTTTAGTTATGGTGTCTTAGATGCTGCCCCACATCCATGACTCCACCAGGTTTTGCTCTGATGAGAACACTCTACAGTGGCCTTGCCTCTCTGACAAGTCTCTGCCTGGGCTCCAGGCTGCCCCTGACATCCTTTCGGGTCTAGGTGGAAGCCATGGCCCCACAGTTCTTACATTCTGTGCACATGCAGAATCGGTGCTCTATGGACACCACCAGGTCCAATTGAGCATGGCTGGGGCAGCAGAAGAGCAATGTACCAGAAAACAAGCAGCAGGGTCTCCAGGCAGCCCTTGGCAGCACATCTTGAGCCCTTGTGAATCCCTGACATTCAAGATGCCAACCTGTCTAAAGAGCTCTCAAATGTCGTCAGGGTTATTCTCTATCATCTCAGTGAATAGAATCTGCCTTGCCTCTGTAGTATTCTGTCACAAACACACTTTTTCATTCTTTCTATGGCAAGATTGAGTTTCTCAAATCTCTCTGTTCCGTTTCCCTTTTAATTATAAAATCTTTCATTAAATCATTTCTGTCTTCTGATTTGACTGTAAATGGATAAAAAAACAAAAGCAGGAAACATCTGACACTTTGATGTTTAAATATTTCTTCTGTCAGACTTCCTAATTCATCACTCTTAAGTCCTGTCTTCCTCCAAGTGGAACCCTTGGCACATAGTCCCACCACACTCTTCACAATTGTTTGATGAGGATGGCCTTGACCCTCAGTCTCCAACACCTTATTCTTCATTTTCATCTGAGATGTTCACTATTCATAGTTCCGCTAGCCTGTCATCACAACCGCTTAAGCAAGCCCTCAGAAGATTTAGATTGTGTCTTCTGAGATCTCAGCAAAACTGACCTCATTTTTCCATCAACAGCCATCTAGGCTTTTCCTAACCTGCTCCTCCCAATTCTTCCAGTTGCTATCAGCCAGTTCCAAAGCTACTTTCATAGCTTGGGGTGTTGGTTGGAGGCACAGACTGAGTTTTTGGTACTGATTATCTGCCTCAGTCTGTTTTATGCTGCTCCAAGACCACAGACTGAGTAACGTATAAAGAACAGAGATTTTCTTTCTTACAATCCTGGAAGCTGGACTGTCCATGGTCAAGGGGCCCACACCTGGTAAGAGCCTTCTTGTGTGTCATCCTATGGTGGCAAGTGAAAGAGCAAGGAAGCACAGGGAAAAGTGAGAGAAGAGGAGGGGAACCAACTCATCTTTTCATTAGGAACTCACGCCCAGGATAACGAAGCTACTCCTACACTAATGGCACTAATGCATCCACAGGGCTCAGAAAGCCCCTGTATCTCAACACTATCATACTGAAGACTACTTTTTCAACACATGAACTTAGGGGTCACATGAACACCACAACAAATTTATGTGATGTGGCCCTGGCATGATAGCATAGTGGTTAAAGTCCTTGCCTTGAACGTGCCAGGATCTTGTATGGGCGCCGGTTCTAATCCCGGCTGCATATTCTGGTTTCTCTTCAGATTGCACAAATCTTTCACCTTGGGCCCAACGGCATGGCCTAGTAGCTAAAGTCCTCATCTCAAACCCACCAGGATCCCATATGGGCGCCGGTTCTAATCCCGGCAGCTCTACTTCCCATCCAGCTAGCTCCCTGCTTGTGGCCTGGGAAAGCAGTTGAGGATGGCCCAAAGCTTTAGGACCCTGGACCCGCATGGGAGACCCTGAAGAAGCTCCTGGCTCCTGGCTCCTGGCTTCGGATTGACTCAGCTCCAGCCATTGCAGCTTCTTGGGGAGTGAACCATCAGATGGAAGATCTCCCTGTCTGTCTCTCCTCTTCCCTGTATATCTGCCTTTCCAATAAAAATAAATAAATCTTAAAAGAAAAATTTATGTGACATATCCTGTATTTTAACACTCTGACTTGCCTCTGCAACTCTGCT